CTCCACAAGTGTGAATTCGCAGAGCACCACTCGAAGAAAGATGGTCACAGGTATGTAACCTACCATTATCTGAGTTGCCATAGCCCTAGTACTTCCAAAGAAGAGAACCCAACCTGATGTCCAAGATCCCAATATAAAGTCTGCATAGGCTCTCCTTCCTACTCCCTTTTCGCATTCCAGGCTCAAACACTGCATATTTAGGGAACCTATAAATTGTTCCTAATAAAAAGATTGCCTACCTGAAGCTTTTGTATTTTGATACTTGCATGCTGAGAGTTTTGTGATTTGGTGAGTAGGCTGTAGCTAGGAGCATGTGCTTGAATTGTTGGCTCATATAACCTTTCTTCTCCTTGTTTTGTGCTTATATTGGTTTGGATAATGTTCAGATGCATTCAGGCTGACTCAAAAGATCTGAGAGTTCCAAATTTTGTTCCTGTTCTTTCCAGTTTTCTTTTGGAGATCCATACATGTCTCCTAGCATATTTTCTATCAAGTCCTGATACAATCAGAAACTTTCTGTACCAGCTCCCCAAGTCAATTAATTTGAACCCAGTACAAATTCAGAAAGAATGGGAACAAGATCAGAAATCCAAGGCCCTTTATCAGGGGGTTGTGTGTGTTTGTTTGTGTGTGTGTGTGTGTCAGGAGCGACTTGAGAAACTGCAAGTTACTTCTGGTGTGAGAGTATTGGCCATCTGCAAGGATGTTGTCCAGGGAATGCCCAGATGTTTTACCATCCTGTGGGAGCCTTCTCTCATGTTCCCACATGCGAAGCTGGAGCTGACAGACAGGAGCTCATCCCACTCCCCGGATTCAAACCACCAACCTTTCAGTTAGTAGTCCTGCCAGCACAAGGGTTTAACCCATTGCACCACCAGGGGTTCCCTTTTATCGGTTAACAAGTTTGCCTTTTTGAGCACAGTTTAGCCCCTGAGCATGGGGTTACGATGATGATCAAAGGCACCTCATAGCCTGCTGATAAAATGCAGAAAGGCAAAAAAGGGGGTGGGATGGGGGATATTTAGTTGAACAAACTAAATTTAGTGCAAAGGCTTTCCAGTCCTTTATTACCTTTTGGGTTGCCTTGGGTTGCCTGTTCAAGAGCTTCTCGTGCTTTCAGAGCTCTCTCTTTGTTCTTCCTTTTGTTTTCGTCAGCTTGCTGTTAAAGAAGAATGAAAGTAAATGTCCTGCATGATTCAGAAGTGAACCATGCAACTTCCTTTATCCCTTGCCATTGATTAGCTTAGGTTGACTCGGACTTATGGGAGCTACAATCCAACACCATTCAGTTTTTTTAATAGTGTCAGAAGCAGCTTGAGAATATACTGCAAGTCACTTTTGGTGTGAGAGAATTGGCCATCTGCAAGGACGTTGCCCAGGGGACAGCCAGATGAGTTACCATCCTGTGGGAGACCTCTCTCATGTCCCTACATGGGAAGCTGGGGCTGACAGATGGGAGCTCACCCCTTCTCATGGATTCAAGCCACTGACCTTCAGGTCTTCAGGTCAGCAGTTCAGCTGGCACCCATTGTGCCACTGGAGCTCTTTTAATAGCATTGGTAAGGCTGTACAATTTCTAACCTTGTGTTAATGTTTAAAATAGCCCAAATCAAATGTTTTTTGCAACATCCTTACACTTTGTAGTTTCTTCTTCAGCTCCAGGTTCATAGCCTTGTACCCTTTTGAGGTAGCATTGAGATAGTAGATACTCAAGCTAAAGGGAGAAGAAATCATATAGCTATTGTATGATGATAGTAATCAAAGATCACTTCAAACATGCTGATATAACAACTATTGCTAATATAAAATCTTTTTGACTGCTGAATTATTTCTGCAAGTTAACAGGATCCTTTACAAAAGAGTGGCTTGATGTCCATATAGTGGGATTACACCCAATGACACATATTACACACAAACATACACAGCCACACCTAGTTCTTGACACCTCTTCCATGTTGTATCTTGTGTCTTCCATATTCTTGAATTTAATGAGGTTGTGATCAGTACAAGAAAAGAAGCACAAAAAGGAAAATGAGCCCACCCAACTCTACTCTCAGTCTTCCTAATCCCCTTCTCCTGATCCCAGTGTATAGTCTTACTGAATTATACGTGTAAAAATTAAAATATCAGGAAGAGGGACAAGAAGGAAGGGCATTATGGTTTAGTTGTGAGAGAAAGGGAAGTGAAATGTGACCCCTGAGCCATGGCAAGCCCAGGGGCCCCATTTTACAGCTCCCAGAGAATCCTATAACCCTTAGTTCCCTCATAATTTTTCTGGTAAAAAAATAAATAAATCACTACCCAAACACACAAAACAAAAATCCCACCCAATGGTTGTTTGGATCCCTTTTCCACACCAAACCTTCAGAATTGCTAGGTTAACTATATTTGGGTAGATTTCCAGAAACAAAAGTGAGATGACACAATTTCCAGTCATTCCAGTTATAGCTTGGCTTGCAGTGGGATTATAGAGGGTTGCCCATCCCTGGGGTACAGTGTCAAATTGAGACTGCGCAGACTCTAGTTCAAATCTCCCTTGGTGATTCAGAATCATTATCATAATTCCTGAGCAAATCATTATCATTTTTAGGAGAATAAATTCAGGGAAAGGGCTATGTATGGTGTGCCCTGACCATTTGGAAGAAGTATGGAAGAGAAAGAAATGTATTAATTAATAAATTATACATTCCCAAGAAAGCAAAGTAAACATGTAGTACGTACACCATCAGCAGTATGAAGGGTAAAATCACACCAGGATTTGAGGCAAGATTAAAAAATTTCCGAAACCAAGAAGGAAAATCGTGCTCCAGGGTTTCTCCGATGACTTCAAACATTCTAGTTTTTCCGCTGTCCATTCACACATAGAATCAAAGAAAGACAAAATAGAACTCTTTTTCAGTAAATGACATCAATAAAAGAAATAGTTACAATGGCAATGTGCACATGCAATAATAACAACAACAGCAACAATAGCAACAACAACGTTATTCTTATATCCCACCACCATTTCCCCGAAGGGACTTGGGGCAACTTACTTGGAGACCAAGCCCAGTATAAACAAGGGTTACAAAGTAACATACTTAAAATATATAGCATATAACAGTAAAATAGAATTAAAAAAAATAAAATCAAACCAATAGAACCACCTTTTTAAAACTTCAACCAATATCGTGACCAGTAGCTGGGAAAAGTGGGCATGTTCAATACTGATAGGTCAAAGCAGGGGTTTGTGCAAACACAAAACTGTAGGGCCAGGCTGGAAATAAAGTGCTGGGTAATCAAAGCAATAAGATAGGTTTAGGCAGTCCTAATCAGGCGCTAAACCATTATTCAAAGGTATGTAACCAGTAGCCAGGAAAAGTGGGCATGTTCAGATTTGATAGAGCAGGGCAAGGGTTTGTACAAACATAAAAAAATGGAGGGCTAGGCCAGAAGTGGAGTGCTGGGTAATCAAAACCATAAGTTAGGGATTGAACAGTCCTAATCCGGCACTAAACCGTTATTCAAAGGCATACTGGAACACCCAAGTTTTCAAGTCTTTCCGGAAGGTGGACAGACATCGTATTAGCATGTTTGACTACTATGGCAGATTCATTACATAGTAAACTACACATAGGTTTCATGGTTGTAGGATAGGGAAAAAAATTAAGGCTCAGAGTGGATTGTGGATATGGTTAACTTAGTCAGGTGTGACTGCTGATTTTCATGCCAAAAGGGCAGCCAAATCACTCCAGTTACAGTCTGAAATTTAAAGAAACTATTCATTGTGTTGAATCTATTTGAAGGATAGAAGCCATCCAGTGCTGTAGCTAAGTCTCTGAATTGACTTGTGTCTCACCAACTGGTGGTATGTACACAGCAGGAACTGATAAATTGGCCAGTTTTGCTCCCCCATTCAAATTTTTATAAAGGACCATTTTAATAAATCATAGTGTACTCGACATATCCGTGGGTGTTTGGTTCCAGGATTCTATGTGTATAACAAAAACAAATGTGTAGGACAGCAGTGGAAGCTGTGGCAAACCCTGACTATCAGGCACATATTCTTCAGGCTCTCCTGGCTTGGGATAGCATGCTAGATGCCTGCTTCTGCCTTTGAGGCTGCAATACCTCGGTTCATTCCTTTACAAGAAAGAAGCAGTTAGCAGGTAGGCTCACAAGAGTCAAGAGGACACAAAGATTTCACATATGGAGGTTGTGGCTCGCTGCCACCTCCACTGCTGTACTATGCCATGTTATTAATAATGAACATAAATAAGACCTTATACAAGAGAGGTCTCATGAACAGTAGAGGACCGTATTGTATACCCCCCCCCCCAAAAAAAAAATCAGGTACTCCAAGTGTCCTTGTTGCTACCATTCCTCAAAGCTTGAAGTTGTTTTGTGCAGATAACACAAAAGATGAGAGACTGTAATGTAGAGAGACACAGGGATCTTTGAAATGGAATCAATCTAAGAATAAGGTTTAGAGACCTTATAAGAAGACTGATGAGACCGCAAAAAAACAACAACAGCATTTTCTACATAGGAATAATTGAAATATTATATTCTGTACACGAAATGCTGTTTTCTGTGCAAAAACACTATCCCCAATTTTTATAGAGAAAAAATCCCAAAGTACAAATAGTTTTCAAAATGTATGCAGTTTTTGGAGACTTGTTCAAAAAGAAAGTTGATAAGTTACTCACTTCATTCAAAAATGGTGTTAGTGAAGATGTGCATTCCCAGAGTTCAAGGACTACCAAAAGAAAGTCTTTCAGAACAAAGCCCCAGAGTGTATGCTCCTCACTTTCATGGGGAACTTGTTTCACTAATCACTGGGAAGTGATACAACTATCATAGATGACATTTGCTGTGTATTATTCCCGGGACTCCTAACCATTTCTCCATCTTGAAGGATAGAGTAATTGGCCTCAAATTACCAGAAGACCCTGTCCTGTAGCCAGTTTTGAAGTAAACTTCTACTTGACGCCCAGTTGGCTCCTGTACCTGTGTGTGACATCTTTTTCTTTGCCTCAGGCACCAAAACGGATTGACTGCCCCTTGAGGCAGATTAAGATAGCAATAGTACGTGATGGTTTAGAGCAGTGAATCCCAGCCTGTGGTCCTCCATGTGTTTTGGACTTCAACTCCCAAAAATCTGAGCCTGCTTCTTACCCGCTATTAGGGATTGTGGGAACTGATGTCCAGAACACCTGGAGGACCAAAGGTTGGGAACCACTGGTTTAGAGGTAAACACAGACCTCTTTGCCTTCATCACTGACATTCAAGCCAGGCTTTTTGCTTTTGCAAACTGGATGCTTTTCATCTCTACTTAGAGCCAATTGTTGTGAAGAGTAGTTTCATCATGTTAACACTCACCCTCCCTGAATTTAAACATTTGCAAAGGGCTGTAACTATTTGTACATGTACAGTATCCTGCTTGAGAAAGTTTTGTTAAGGACTATTACATGCTTAATAGAATGGGCTGAATTGTTGTTAGTGATGATGATGCCAAAAGTGTACATATTGTGAGTTATTCTTTCTTCACTTGATACCCATTTGTGCTCATACTATTTGCCAAGTCCTGAGACTGCATGAGGCATTTGCACAGCTCCACCTCTAGATGTCATCCATGATTTTTTATAATTTCAAATCAAACTGGCTTTCTTCAATATCATCTTGATCCACCTTCCCTTTTGTCCTGGACTGAAACCAGATTTAGCCATGTCTACATTAAACCCACTGCAATCAATGAGACATATATAATCATAGCCAAGCTTACTCTCATTATTTTCAGCAGACTCAAAACATTAATGTGTTCATTACACCGATTTTATCCTTGTGAGGAGAGTGTTAAAGGTAGCTCATCTATCTGTTAAACAGACCCACAATAATTTGCAGAGGATGGAGCAATCAAGGAAAATATGTGAATTTCCAGAAGATTTAACAATCATCCCTATTGACACGTTCCACTTTTCTGAGGTATGTACAAGGCAGAAACAAATCAATTAAAGAGAGGAGAAGAAATGATGGAAATAAGACATAAGTGATAAAGTTATACAAGCACAGCACCATGAACTGAGTTTTAACTGGCATTAAGAACATAGACAATATTTGGTTTTGTTGGAAAGTGTGTGTGCACGTGTGTGCGCATGTGTGTATGTGTTTAAAGGAGACATCTGAAGTAAATGCCAAAATACTCTGAGAACATTAGATCCCATCTGATCTCTGTAAGACTTTTATTTATTGGTACAATTTATTTGGGCTTTTTAATTATTATTTTTATTTTCATGGGGAACCTGTGCCACTAATCACTGGGAAGTGGAGGGTCAACTGTAATAGTCCACATACCTTTTTAAAAATAGTCCATAAAGCAGTGGTTCATGGAATGCTTCAGAAGACCTCTCCCTGAACCCCCCCCCAACTCTGTCCTTGATTTTCTCTGCACAATGTGAACCCACAAACTTCTTCCTTATTTCGTCTTCTTCCATTCCCTGTGTGTTTTGAATATTGTATTAGGATTTAAAATAAAGAGATTTAAGTTTCATCTGTAAAGCAGGGGTACATTGAATTTCAATTAAATCTTCATACTTTAGTATGGACTTTCCAAAAAAGTTTTTAGAAGGAGGAAGCGAGCCTTCTTGGTAGTTGCTCAACTCTGGAACTCCCTGCCTGGGGAAGCCAGAATGGCCCCCTCCCTGCTCTCCTTCCAGTGGCAGGCTAAAACCTTTTTATTCAGACAGGCTTTTAAAGATTGTTTGGAAGAACAAGTCAGGGGGTGATGTGGTTTTTAACTTTGAATATGTTTTAATGGAGTTTAACTGAATATTTGATACTGTTTATATTTAATTCTGTTTTAATGTTTGCATATTTGTATATTTTAAATGGTATGCTAATGTTTTTATGTTAAGTCGCTTTGAGTCTTCTTTGGGAGAGATTAAAGTGAGATATAAATAAATATAATAATAACAATAACACCAAATTGAACTGGCATTTGAGTCAGTATAACTTGGGAAGATGGGAATGAAACATACACAATGAGATGGGAATAGGTGTTGAGTCAGGAAGAGCCACTTGGATTGCTGCTGCAGTCTAAGGCAATTGTCACACTCTGGCTCATGTTAAGATCAGTCCATGACCTTCTGGTTATTGATGTTTGTTTTGTTTCATTTTATGGTTGTTTTATATTCTGCTGTTTTTTTAAATTTTATTTTAATTAGATTGTTATGTGTGTATTATATTTTTAAATATTTTTTTTTTGTAAACCTTGTGTTGTGATTGGTCTCACTTGTAAACCGCCCAAGTCTCTTTGGGGAGATGGTGGCGGAATATAAAAATAAAGTTATTATTATTATTATTATTATTATTATTATTATTATTATTATCATTATTATATTAATTTTTCCAAAGCTTCTTCTACTGTAATGAAGTTATTTTGTGTTTGTGCTCCTGACAAAGAAAAATGCATTCAACATAATAAATGCTGCACATGAAATGCAGACATGAAATGCAACAGAGACACTTCCTTGCAAGTATATATTTTTCATTGTGGTTCTTTACACCTGCTGTTATAGAATGCAATTCCAGGTGAAGTATGCCTACAACACTTTTTTCCCAATGCTTTTTAAATTAAGCTAAACCAGTTCCCTAAGAAGGTCCACAAAATTTGTAGCGCTATCGCTTGAACAGTCCTCCATCAGCTAGCAAAGAAATAGATATGAAGAGAAACAGACCTGAATGGACCACAGTCAAAAGATGGTGGAATGGAGACTACAGTGTAGACAACTGGTAGTGTGGAGAGGAATAGAATGAATAGCAACATGGCCATGTAAAAATTGTTTGATCTTGATGCTTTGAAGACTCTTGCATGGGGGACATTACAGCACATCACAGCCCAGCACTGCAGATACATGGAAGTATGGAGACGGATGACGTTGATCGCAGGGAGGCAAGGTGCATAAAAAGCACCCATCCTAGAAATATTTAATAAACAGCCTGTCATCAAAAGGTAACAAAAGGAGCACATGACTATCACTATCACATGTTTATTATTCCTTTTTTACACCATCTCTGCTCACTATCTGAGGCTAACAAACATTTGCCATTCACCAAACCCCAAATCATTTCACTTGTTTGATGTCACAGATCTATTTCCAAAGCTATAAAAATGGACAAGTTATAACTGTGCTCATCTCATGCTTAGAAAATCAATATAATAACAAGCAGCTCTGTACCTCCAAGATAATATTCCATGTACACACACAAAAAACCCCACTGACTATAATGGCACCAAACCTTTTCATTTGTAAGGTCTTTAAAACCTTATTGGTCTTAGAAGTCTCATGCTAGCTAGCATTTATCTGCTCCCATGTCACTAAATTGTATCCTTCATCTATATGTTTCTGAGTTCTTTATAGTTTGTTTGGCTTGATTTTTTTTCTACTCTGTAGAGCAATGTTGGATTGGAGAACAGGAAATTAAATGCTCAGACATGTAAAAATTCAATAAAACTGCACCAGTAAACACAATAATAACTTTCTATTAAACGATTTTAAACCCTACTTCCATAGATAGCCATCCCATTCTGCAAAGCTATGAGTTGTGACTTTGTAACAGGTTGGTTACTGTTAACATCTGGATTCCATGCAACTTTCCAAAAGTTGTCTGCCAGCAATTGGTTCAGAACTTTGACAATTTCGGCCAACATCCCACTTGGCAAAGTTAGATATAAAGGAATAGAGGTCTCCTTCTGCACTTTTAGTGGCACTGCAGAAGAGATAATTTCAACAGATATAGTTTACATAACAAGCCACCCTTGCTGAAATTTGCTATTCTGGTTAAAAACCAGGAACCCCATTCATTAGGTGAGGAGAGGGAGAGAAGAGGAGAACAGTTGCAGAAACACAAAGAAAAAAAGGAGGCAAAGAAAGAAATGGTGCCCTTGCCCACTCTTGGATATGGTCCTGTTTCCCACTAGCTGAAGCCAGTGATACCATCAACATACAGGAGTGTTCCTTGTAGCCTTCAGCCATTCAGAAATGAAAACCATACCACGTGTTCAAACACTATCAGACTATGTATTGTCAAAGGCTTTCATGGCCAAAATCACTGGGTTGTTGTAAGTTTTTGGGCTATATGGCCATGTTCCAGAAGCATTCTCTCCTAATGTTTTACCTGCATCTATGGCAGGCAACCTCTGAGGATGCCTGTCATAGATGCAGGCAAAACGTCAGGAGGGAATGCTTTTGGAACATGGCCATATAGCCGGAAAACTTACAACAACCCAATATCAGACTTTGTCCAACATGGCAAAAATTGTTAATGAAGAAGAACATGCAAACTAGAAGATTTCTGGAACTTTGGGGCTTAGAATTCCAAAGACTCCAGAGGATTTTGTCATGACAATTAAATTAGATTCATAGCATTATAACACAATAGTGTACTGTTTTATCATGTTGTACTCTGCCTTGACCCATGTTCCTTGTTGTTGTTGTTGTTGTTGTTGTTGTTGTTGTTGTTGTGTGAAAGTGATCCTAAACTAGAAACACTTTATTCACCTAATGCCTTTTATCTTTCCTTCCATTGTGTTTAATTTTGCACTGTTTTGTAACTGAAATCCTAGCAATCTAGCTTGCATCACCAATGAGGAAGGATGTTGGTATTTGCAGTCCAACAATATATGGAAGGCCACATGTTTCCTACCTCTGATGTGATTTGAAGTATAACTCAGCAAAAGGGAAACAGAATTTCACCTAAATGAAGCAAACAAGATGACAAGATATGGCAATGGATTTTGATATAAATCATCAAACTTTCTGGGAGAATTTTTTAAAAAATCCAAGCAAGTGTCCCCTTTTGGTTAGTTGATGTCATGTATATAGAGTCTTATATCAGACAACCAGAATCAATATTAGTGGCGTTGGATGTGCAGTAACAGATTTGAAAAACAAGAAAAATACAAGAAAATGAATTAAAATATTTTGTGACATTATCAATATTTTTAATGTTACAGCTAAATTTACAAAATGAATAAGCAAAGGCATAAATGTCCACCTATATTGTGTTAATTTGTGGCACTGAAGCATATGGCACTGATTGGCTAAGCTAGTAAATGGTCCAAAATTGTTTAATTGCTCAGAAAATCTAGCAGTTTGCAACTCAGCTGCTGTGTGGGATGAGAAAGTTGTCAGTCTGCCTGGGAGTAAGCGTCACATGAATTGAGAACTGGAAAGAAGCCACAATAAACCTACATTGCTGTGATATGATTGTACATCCAGGCATTTCACTGTGGGGATGAAAAGAAAAGAAAAAGTTGCTACTGTATGCAGTAGGGATCTGCCACTTCAGGATGGGTTTATAAATACCAGGGCTCTTGACATTCCCCAGCTGGTAACTCTCAAAACAGAGGCGGTCCTTTAGAAAAAATAACTAGTTCTAGTTATTTAGAGGAATTTTTCTGAGTGGTGGAAATTTTGGGTTCTCAGTCCCAAACTTGGACTGAGTTCTCAGTCCCAGTTTGGGACTGAGAACCCAAAATTTCCACCTTATAACAATATGAGGAAATATTCTAGAGCCCAACATTAAACGGATAATCTGTAAACACTTAGAAAGGAATATCATGATAATGAAAAGACAACATTATGGTATGCCAAACCAATCATATTAATTTTTCTGATAGAGTTACAAGCTTGATAAAGGAAATACTGTAGATGTACAATATCTTGATTTCAGTAAGACCTTCAGTAGGGTTCCCCTTTATATTTTTGCAAAAAAGCTAACAAAGTGCGAGCTAGATAATTCTACAGAAGTGGATTTCTAACTGGTTGACCAACTGAACAGAAAGGGTCCTTACTGCTTACCAATTGCTCCTCCTCATCCTGATGTGAGCAGTGGGTGCCATTGGGTTCAGTCCTTTCCCTAGTTCATTTTCACATCTTTGTCAATTAATTGGATGATGAAATAGAAGGCATACTTATCAAATTTGCAGATGATACCAAATGAAGAGAGGTAGCTAATACCCAGAGGATTTGGTCAGAGTTCAAAACAACAGATTGGAGAGTTGAGAAAAAAGTAACACAATGAATTTCAACAAGGTATTACACTCGGGCAGAAAAAAAATGGAACGCACAAATATTGGATGGGTGACACAAATATAAGATGGCTCTTAGTAGACTACAAGCTGAACATGAATCTACAGTGTGATTGTTCACAGGGTCTAGATCAAGGAAAGGAAGAGTACCACTGTTTGCTTTGATTAGTTGATTGTGTTCAGTTCTGGGTACCACAATTCAAGAAGGATATTGACAAATTGGTATTGTCCAGAGGAGGGTGACTAAAATGAGAAAAGATCTGGAAACCATGTCCTATGGGAGGCAGCTTAGGGAGCTGACTATGGACGGGCAGGAGGGAAGTGAGGGAAAGAATTGGGAAGAGTGAGGAAACCATCTTACTGCATTCTTTCCCAGTGAGGTCCATCTTTGGGGATGGCCAGCCACCCTACTGCCTTTCCCTATCATCTTTTCACTTTCCCTTGCTTCTATCCACTTTCTGGAATCAGACTTCTGAGAATGGAGTATGCTGGCAGGATAGTGGCCCTGCATCATGTGATGGCCTCTGTGTGCAAAAAAGGAGAGAAAATGTTTGCCAGTGTGCAAAAAAGGAGAGAAAATGGAAGAAAATATCAGAGTGATGAGATCCTATGTTTAACCTGGAGAAGAGAAGAGGTGACATGACTGTCATGTTTAAATATTTGAAAGGTTTCCATATCAACAAGGAAGCAAGTTTGTTTTCTGCTGATCCATAAAGTAAGACAAGAACAAATGACTTCAAACTACAAGAAAGGAAATTCCACCTAACATTGGGAAGAACTTTCTGACAGTAAGCTGTTTGACATTGGAATATGCTCCTTCAGAGTGCAGTTGAATCTCCTTCTCTAGAGGTTTTCAATCAGAGGCTGGACAGTCATGTGTGATGGATGATTTGATTGTCTATTCCTGCATGGCCAAAAGGTAAACTGGATGGTCCTTGTGGTCAAGCAATAGGATTCTATAATTACTTGTTATAACCCACAGAAGTCTCTGATTTTTTTAATTACAGAAGATAAATAAAATGCAAGGGACAAGAAAAAAGTACAGAACAAGAAACAAGCTTTAACTTTTATTCTCTATTATATGGCATACCTAAGGACTAGAAAACTTGTGGTCCTAAAGATGTTGGACTCTGATGTCAATCACTGTGTGGCCAAACTAGACATTAGTGAACATTATGAGGGTTTTCAGTTATCAACTTCTATTGTGTCATAGGTTCTCTACACTGTATTACACAAGCACCCAACGTTCATCTCCAGTGACATCCCCGGCCCATCCCCTGTTCAGATATCAGCCACCACGCCAATTTAAATCAAGAAATAGTTTTCTAAGATCTGTAGAGATACTCACTAGGACACCTCAACAATTGAGAGTCCAAAAGTGGCAGGCTAAAACCTGGAACCTCAATCAATGGCTGATACCAAAAGAGAGACTCCATCCTGGGCACACAGAAAACTGGGTGACTTGGATGATGCTGAACAGACTGCGTTCTGGCTCCACAAGATGCAGAGCCAACCTTAAGGAAATGGGTCTATAAAGTGGAGTCCATGACATGCGAGTGTTGAGAAGAGCAAACCACAGACCACCTACTACAATGCAACCTGAACCCTGCTGCATGCACAGTGGAGGACCTTCTTATAGCAATACCAAAGGCACTCCAAGTGGCCAGCTACTGGTCAAAGGACATTTACTAGAATGCCAAGTTTGCAAACTTTGTTTTTTTAAAACAAACAAACAAACAAAGCAACTGTTTGGTTCGCTCCTGATACAATAAATAAACCCAATGTTTAAAAATTACATCACTATATCTTCAGTAAAAGAGCATGATTTATAATTCTGTTACTCTCTGTTTGTGCCAGCTACTCTTATAGCATCCATGCATGATTTCACTTCAGTTACAACACAATAAAATTGGCAGACAGAGATGCAAGGCCAGAAATGACAGATATATTCCTCCTCATTTTACATTAGAGACTTAATAAGCAATATGAGAGAATTCACAATTGAGTTTGCACACATGTCGTAACACAGGTACATTATACAAGAACTGTTTTGTAATATTGCTGGGGGATAATCTTACCAGATCATGCCTTGATTGAAGATCAGACCCAGCACATTTCCACTAATATCAAATTCTGAGTATGAGGGCTGGTGGGGAAACATGTGAGGATTCTATTACAGTTACATTTTTTAACACAAAATATAAAAACAGTTTATATAACACAATGACTGTTTCCACAGCAAACAAAATCATGGGCAAGAATGAATACATCCCAAAACAAATCATAAATATAATATGCAAGGGCAGGTGACAAAACTCTTGCTCTTTGTAGTTCTGGAAAAAACTGCTGTGATTAAATTTAGCATTTTGATTTTTTTTTTAGTTCTAATTTTTAAAAAGCTACAAAATGCACAGCAACATTATGTTTGATTAGTGCTGAAATGTCCCAAACAAGTCAAAGATTACAATCCCAGGTGTTTTCCCTCTTCTCCCTGCTCAGATTTTACACCATGAAAATTGAAGTCAGAAGCAGTCACTTCTGTTCATTGCTTTTGCTGAATCCACTTATATAGGAAATGGAAAGCAATTCACAAAGAATGGGTTAGATGACCCTTTAATTCAGGTGAGAACTTGTCCAAAAGAGGTATTCACAACATCAACATTGTGAAAACAAGGAGGTCCTACTTAGCAGTACTTTCAAAAGTACTTTTCCCAAATTATATTGGAAAGCAAGAAAGAAGTAAACTATGGATGTAAAGAATACTAGCCAATTTTCAATTCTACCCAGCAGGGATAAAGGTTATATGTTTTTGTATCAGAGCATAACTTAAGCTAAGATTTATATTCTTAATGTGAACACTCCTTGTTATTGCTGTCAACATTTTTGTTCTTTCTGAAGTGTTTCTGTGTCTTCACCAGCTGTATGACAAGCAAAATCAATCAGCAGGTGGGAGTTTCCCTTGGTACACAAATGAAGTGCTGGAGAAAAGTCTCTTTGCTGAATTTCTGTTTGTCACACAGCTGTTGAAAACACCAAAGCCCTGAAAAAGAAATGATGATTCTAATAAAAATGATGATCACGGTATCCTTCTGGGATGCCTCATAGACATGGGGCTCGGGGGCACTGCTCTGAAATGGCTCCGATCCTTTCTTGAGGGATGGTCCCAGAAGGTGTTATTGGGTGACACCTGTTCGGCCCCACAACCATTGTTGTGTGGAGTCCCACAGGGTTCAATTCTGTCCCCAATGTTATTTAACATCTACATTAAGCTGCTGGGAGAGATCATTCGGAGTTTCGGAATGAGATATTATCTCTATGCAGATTATGTCCAAATCTGTCACTCCTTCTCACCTGTCACCAAGGAGGCCGTCCAGACATTGAACCGGTGCTTGGCTGCTGTGTCGGACTGGATGAGAGCTAACAAATTGAAACTGAATCCAGACAAGACAGAGGTCCTACTGGTCAGTCGTAAGGCCGAACAGGGCATAGGGTTACAGCCTGTGTTAGACGGGGTTACACTCCCCCTGAAGACGCAGGTTCGCAGCTTGGGAGTGATCCTGGACTCATCGCTGAGCCTGGAACCCCAGGTCTTGGCGGTGGCTGGGAGAGCTTTTGCACAATTAAAACTTGTGCGCCAGCTGCGCCCGTATCTTGGGAAGTCGGATCTGGCCACGGTGGTCCACGCTCTTGTTACATCCCGGATAGATTACTGCAACGCACTCTACGTGGGGTTGCCTTTGAAGACTGTTCGGAAACTTCAATTAGTCCAGCGGGAGGCAGCCAGATTGCTCACCGGGCGTCATACAGGGAGCATACCACCCCCGTTATGCCAGCTCCACTGGCTGCCGATCCAGTTCCGAGCACAATTCAAAGTGCTGGTTTTGACCTACAAAACCCTATACGATTCCGGCCCAGCGTATCTGTCCGAACGCATCTCCCTTTACGTCCCATCTCGGAGTCTGAGATCCTCTGGGGAGGCCCTGCTCTCGACCCCGCCTCTGTCACAAGTGAGATTGGCGGGGACGAGGAGCAGGGCCTTCTCAGTGGTGGCCCCTCACCTATGGAATTCACTCCCCGAGGAGATCAGATTAGCAACATCCCTCCTTTCCTTCAGAAAGAAATTAAAAACATGGATGTGGGACCAGGCGTTTGGGCAATCTGGCAGATTAATAAGGGACTGGACAAGGTGGAATAAAAATGAACTCTGAGTGGCGAACGCTGTGTCTGAGATTGGCTATTGATTGTGTGATATATTGTTGTTTTAATTGTTTTTAATTGTTGACCATTTAATTGCTGGTTTTATATGTTATTGTATTTGTGCAGGCACCAAGACGTGACTTTTTGTAAGCCGCACTGAGTCCCCCCTCGGGAGTTGAGAAGGGCGGGGTAGAAGTATACGAAATAAATAAATAAATAAACCTTAAATGCCTGCCTGGATGCATTGTCTTGTTTGTTGGACAAGCAGAGACATTGTTAGAATCCCTTGTGATACAACACCCCCTCAACTGTGATGTTAGAACTTGAATGAATCAGATAATCATGTATTTTGAATATGGCATTAATCAATCATTATTGGGACCTCATCACACTAAAGAATGAATCCACTTTAAATCTGGTTTCTACCTCCTGCAGAATTCTGGGGTTTGTAGTTTAGGGGAGAGCCTTTAACAACCTCACTAAACTACAAACCCCAGAATTCTGCAGGAGGCAGAAACCAGATTTAAAATGGATTCGTTCTCTAGTGGGAGAACGAATCCATGTTTAAAGACAAGTCATTGTGTGTACTGTTCTAACAAATAGCATACAGATGAAATCAAAAATAAGGTCCCTGTCTATCATGTTTGCTATATTATGCTGTGTGTGTGTGCAGATAACATGTAAAGTTCGGTCCTAAGATATCCATCAATTACAATTTGACAAATTTGCTCTCACCCAGGAAAGCACTTCTTGTTCAGGACTTGTCCTTGGTTATCTAGCTCTTCCCATAGAAAGTGCAGCCAGCCCTAAACATTTAGAAGGGTTAGGGCCACAGGACCCCTGCAAAAGTGGGAAAACTGTGACTATTTCTAAGCCCCCTATTCCCAAACTAGTTAACTCAAAATCATGCTGCTATGGTGACTGGACCCATCTACATGTTTCCTCATGCAGTCATTTGCTTGTTTGGGCAAACAGACAGAGAGAAAATTGAGGGATGGAGGGTCAGGAAGTGTGGGTATCCATGTTCCTTTGTGCACTCACTCAATTAGGCAGGTTGGGGAAGAGGACAGGATAGAGACAGAAGCAAAACAGGTGGGTGATGTCTCTGGGTGGATGGAGGGAATGCCACTACCATAAGAACAGCTGCTGCAGCCTGTTTCTGCCTGGCCTCCTCCCACAGCCAGTGCCACCCCACCTGCCTGCCCCAGCTCTCTCTCCCTCCTCCTGCTTCTTCTCTCTGCCCTGGAGACCCATACACCACCTGTTTTCCCATTCTCTTCATCCACTTGAGTAATGGCATAAAGGGACATGTACATTCTCCCATTTTCCATGCCCCTTCTCCCTGCCTACTCATCTGAGCAAATGAGTGAATACATGAAGAAACATGCATACTCTCACCTCCCTCATCCCACTCCATCTCCTCACTTTACATGAAGGAAATGTGTGCACCTTCTCTCCTCCCAAAGCCTTTCCCTCTTGTAGTCCTTCTCACCACCAGTTTGATTTCCTCCCATAATACAAAGATTTGACTGGTAACTTAGCCTGACTTAACTCAAGGGCTATTGACTAGGCTTGGGCAATCAAGAAAAAATTTGGTTCTAAACTCACTTCGTTTCTAGGGGGTGCTAGCATTTCGAATTTCAGAGGACTTCCGAAATTCATGATTTCAAAATTTTGAAATTTCCGAATTTTTGTTAATTACAAATCGATTCGTTAATGGTGGACACAATTGCGCTATACGCGCAATACATGAAAAAAACCTCCAAACGGGACAGGGGGAAGTTCTGAAGCTTCCCTCTCCCTCTGTTGTTGACTGTTGCTGATAAAACTAACAACTAAACAAAACCAAACTCCAGTCTTTAAAACGCTTTGAAACGGCTTGTCTAAACCCAGCTAAACGTCTTCTTCCTGGCCCAACAGTTTAAAACTATTATTATTATTATTATTATTATTATTATTATTATGGATGGCCATCTGTCAGGGGTGCTTTAATTTGATATTCCCAGCATGAAGGCAGAAGGGGGTTTGTTGTTGTTGTTGTTGTTGTTGTTATTATTATTATTATTATTATTAAGAATGGATGGCCATCTGTCAGGGTGCTTTAATTTGATATTCCCAGCATGAAGGCAGAAGGGGGTTTGTTGTTGTTGTTGTTGTTGTTGTTAAGAATGAGATGTGTGGTCCATCCAAAAACAATCCGGAGTCAGAATGGAGGAGCACTCACACGAATCCAGTCTTTAAAACGCTTTAAAATGGGTTGTGTAAACACAGCTAAACGTCTTCTTCCTGGCCCAACAGTTTAAAACTATTATATCCCAAGATCCGATCCAGGTTATCTGCTTTGAACTGGATTATATGAGTCTGCACTGCCAGATAACCTGGGATAAACAGAAAACCTGGGATCAGACCTTGGGATATAGGGCCTGTCTGGAAGGGCCCCTAGACCCTTCGACACTGTCCTTATATCCCAAGATCCGATCCAGGTTATCTGCTTTGAACTGGATTATATGAGTCTGCACTGCCAGATAACCTGGGATAAACAAAAAACCTGGGATCAGATCTTGGGATATAGGGCCTGTCTGGAAGAGCCCCTAGACCCCTTCTACACTGTCCTCATATCCCAAGATCCGATCCAGGTTATCTGCTTTGAACTGGATTATATGAGTCCGCACTGCCAGATAATCTGGGATAAACAGAAAACCTGGGATCAGACCTTGGGATATAGGGCCTGTCTGGAAGGGCCCCTAGACCTGAGTTTGAACTTGAACCTGACTCTCTGTTTGTTCCTCCTGATGCTAATGAAAGTATATTTACTGATGCTAGTGGAAATGTACCTTTTGATGCCATTGCTCCTGAAATTAGTGAGGAAGAATCTGCTGTAGGTTTGGAAAATGCCAATGTTCCTGAAATTAGTGAGGAAGGAACTTCTGTAGATTTGGAAAATGAAAGTACCAGTGTTAATGAGAATGTTGCAGAGGGAGACCTTGAACTTTCCCTCCCTTCTGCACCTGTTAACTGTAATGACAACAGAAGGAGCCAAATTTGGGAAGACAGAAATAAAACACTCAGTTTGCGTCGATCCTCCCGAATTCAAGAATTAAAAACATTGGCTTCAAAACAGAAGGCCGGTTCACGGAACCGATTCTTGAGTTTTAATTGCAATACGCCAGGCTGATTCCCTCAGTTCAGGTATCGTTTCAGAATTGATGAAGACCTTGGCAGTTCTCCCGGTTCCCTGGCCATAGTATGGAAAGATTTCTAGGATATCAAGTACGGTTAGTGGATTGCTAACAGATTCAAGTATTTCTCAGAGAGGCTTTTGGTTTTGCTTTGTCCATTTAAATTCATGTTTGCTGATTTTGCTGTGGCTTTTGACTTGCATTTTTCCTTTATTTTGTAACCATTTTTCTTCAATAAAAAAGGATTGTTTTTCACAGCCAATTGTGGTGGATAGTTATCTTAGGGCCTCGTTCCCTGCTCTGGATTGCAACATAGACTAAGAAAGATTATAACCCAAGATCCGATCCCAGGTTATCTGCTTTGAACTGGATTATATGAGTCTGCACTGCCAGATAATCTGGGATAAACAGAAAACCTGGGATCAGATCTTGGGATATAGGGCCTGTCTGGAAGGGCCCCTAGACCCCTTCTACACTGTCCTTATCTCCCAATAACAACAACAACAACAACAAACCCCCTTCTGCCTTCATGCTGGGAATATCAAATTAAAGCACCCCTGACAGATTCGTGTGAGTGCTTACTCCTCCATTCTGACTTCGGATTGGTTTTGGATGGACCACACATCTCATTCTAAATAATAATAATAATAACAACAACAACAACAACAACAACAAACCCCCTTCTGCCTTCATGCTGGGAATATCAAATTAAAGCACCCCTGACAGATGGCCATCCATTCATAATAATAATAATAATAATAATAATAATAATAATAATAATAGTTTTAACCCCTGCCCAGAAAGGCAGGAGGTTAGGCAGGCAACAGGCAGGTCTCTGTGAGTGCTGCACTGCTGTGTCCTCTTTGCCCAATGCAGGCCAGAGTGAGGAACGAGGTGAGGTGACCGGCAGGAGGAGAGGGGAAATTGATCCGCTTAAGCGGAGGCCAGGGACCCGGAAGTGGGGTAAATGCCAACCGCTTGCAACCAGGGAGAGGGGAGGGAAACTGTGAGTTTTTAAAACTTGCACCAGACATCCGAAATAATTACGAAAAATGGGGAAATTGTTTCAATTCTTAATTACTCCTCACACTATTCCTGCTTGGCTCGATATTGGATCGTAAGCTAATTTAAATACGAATTAATAACGAGTAACGAAAATAACGATCTGGATCGCCCAAGCCTACTATTGACATCCTTATGAAAAATGGTGGTGGGGATAACAGCAAACAATTCACTAATAGTCACATCTGTGAAAGTTAAACCCACAATTGTATAGGAGCAATTGTGGAATGAACAGGCATTATTACTTTGGAAGAATTGTAGTAATGCAGCATCCAGCATTATCAGTGTCCCAGTAACATAGCTCAGAGGTCTTATCTGTTATTCATTCAGTTGCAGTACTCATATATGGAGCTTCCTACATGATGTAGGACTTCACATTTCTTTTAAAGAACATTTCAAAATGGATTTATTGGAAGAGGCAAAAGAAGAAAAGAAGTTCAATACTTACGAAGCCATATTCCAAGTCCCAGCACCAGCAGTAATTGAAAAACCTGACAAAGACAGCTTTTAGGAAATCACCAATTAAAATTGTGACGTAGGTTGTCACTGTGTCAGAGACTGTCAACCGGACAAATTCCTGCAAAACAGTATTTCGCTTTTTCAGGCAAAGCAATTAAAGGAAATTGTTTCATATATTAGTGTGATTGGTATGCACTATTGGTTTTTGTTTCTGTCGTTTGTAACTGGCCACTAGGATACTTTACAACAAAAATGTAGGGACTAAAGTCTTGGGGCTAAATTCAATTGTGCTGTTATTTCTCAGGAAACTACGCCCCTTTTCCATAATAATAGTGTTTCATGGCTTCCTCATATTTGTATGGATAATTTCCTAGTCTAAAAAAGTTGAAGTGTTTCTGCTAAAATATATTCATATTTTTAGTGCCAAAGTTCTGCATTTGCCCACTGGAATGAGACCCAAAAAAGTCCCTTTAAATTGAACCCAGCCCTTCAACTCAAAGAGGCTTCCTACTCTTGCTTTGTAGCATTGATGGACAAAGTGTGGTCCACAGACCACAGTCAGTTCCTCAAGGTCATTTTGTAGACATTTTTATATAGCTGAAAATTATGATTTTGACATAAAAGAGCACATAGAGCTTTCTCAAGCCCTCAAAAGCCACCAAGTTCCTTGAAACTAAAGTAGACCTCCAGAAATCAGAACCCTCCAAAGTTGTTCATCCTTCTTTTACAAGAAACTTAGGTTACTTTTTAATCACATAAGTGGGAATAATGTTCAGAGAAATGGATGATCTTGCGGCTGAAGAAAGAAACATCCTATGGGTTCAAACAAAACCAGGGCGCATCCAGACAAACACTTTATTGCAGAAAAATCTGAAATAAATAGGGGGCTGTCCATATGACATCCTGGACAAACCCAAATTAATCCATCACAAACCAGGAAAACCCAGGTGGACAATTAATTTGATCGTGGGTTTATTCCATGCCTTCTTGGAAGGCAAAGGATAAATCCACTACTTTGACTGTCTGGACTGCTTCCTCAAAAGTTCTAGAATTTTGAAAGGGCAGTCTAGACAGTAGTCCCATTTTCCAGGCTGATTCAGCCTGGACAATGGCAAAGACTGCAACCCCTTCCCCAACCCTGCCCCCACAAAACCCTAAAAAATAAAAAGGAAAGTTACCGGGAGCCATTTGACTTCTCCTTCTTTCTGATGGAATATACCAATGACACCTGAAATGAAGGGGGGGGCTCAAATTGCTCCTAGCTCCTCCTATGTTTTAGGGTATCATGGGTATGTTCCCTCAGGTAGGAAGAGAAGCTCCCGGGGAGTCTCCTTTTTATTTTCAAGGGTTTTTTGGGGGGGGCGGGGGGTGTATGGCCATATGTTATCTTGGAAGTATTCAGGATAGCATGTGGACAGCCAAAGGGGGAAACTAATTTTCTCCCCTGCCTGTGTGGATTTAAACCCACTTTGGAGCGGGTTTCTTAAACCCGCTCCAAAGTGGGTTTAATGTATGTCTGGAACTGGCCCCGAATTGTTTCAAACATGAAGCAGGCTTACCTGCCCAACCATGGTTTCCCAACATGGGCCTCTAGGGACATCTGCAGGGTCCACATCGGGGGGAGGACCAGTGACGTTTTCAGGCAGTGTCCCATTGTACAGGTTAGCTAACCAAATGGTCATGTTCTGCTTTACAATCATCTCTTCTTCCAGCTACCAAAAAAAATTTAAAAAAACAAACAGGTTTTCCCCAACAGCACATGTTCTGATATTTCATCCAGAGTAGGGCTGTAATAGCTGCTGATAAATGCTAATTGGCATGTTGAGATCATTTCTCTAATGAACCCAGTAGGGGGCCCCAAGCTCTCAGGAAGGACATCAATCTCCATAGACTTTCTTCTTGTGAGCCCCAATAAATATTTTTACCATTTCTTCGCCAACTGTGAACACGTTCTTCAAAACTATTCACACTTTGGAATTTAATCTGGGGGAGGGGGATGTGACTGTTTTCTATGCAGATAACATATTTATGTGTGCGTGGACAGAAATGTTGTATTTGCTGCAAAATACCATAGATGTTTTTTTTTTTTTTGTGGAGAAGAAGTCCCAAATTGTGAAAAATTTCATCTGTCCAAATTCTCCTCATCAAGGCTTCTCAACAACTAGGAAAGCTATTTTTCAACTCCCCCACCCCATCCCCGATCCCCATCATAACATCTCACTTTACCACATATAAACTAAACACATGGTTAAGACAGGGGGAATTGTAAGCAGGGGATGTATATGTAAATGTGAATGTACCTACCACATGAGAGTAATAGTTCATAAATCTGATAAAAAAATTAAAAACTTAGAGCATAATAAATAATGCCAGAAACTTTCCACCCAAAAAGTTGACATAGAAAACCATCTGGAAATTTTTGATAGTCTAAAGAAACCACCCACTCAAAAACCAATATAACCCTTATTAATACAGTACTACTACCATTGCTACTGCTGAAACTGCTACTATTACACATATACTTCAATACAGAGGCATCCAAGACTCTTTGCAACCATCCACACTGCAGATGTATAGCAGTATAACAATGCTTTAACTGCAATGGCACCATCTGTGGAATCCTGGGATTTGTAGTTTGTTCTGACACCAGAGCTCTCTGACAGAGAAGTCTATATCTCACAAACTCATTGGACTATGGTATTTAATGTAGTGCCAAACTGATGCAATTCTAAAGTGTGGATACAATCTTTGTCCCAAAACCAAGTAAAGTTAGAATTAATTCCAACAGAAATAATTTAGACTCAATTTACATACACTAGTTGATTCAGTAGACTTATTCAAAACTAACAAGACCAAAAGTGTATCAGATATATGATCCAAATTTTATTGGAAGCCTTAACTAGAGTAGATCCATTGAATCAACAGGGTTTGTGCAATTGACACACAACTGACAAACGGAGTCAATACATCTATTCTAATTGGAATGAGGAATCGAATTCAGGTCATGGACTGAATTCAAAGCTGTCTTCCCTCTGTAGACATTCTTCTGCAGGTAAACAGCCTCTGGACAATATCCTCATCTGCACGGCTACAGATTATTATTATTATTATTATTATTATCTATTATTTCCCTTTAACTGCCTTGGGTTCACCCTATGGAATCCTGGGATGGGCAATTTAAGAAGGGAAATGCAGAATTCACAGCCAGAGTACCCTAATGCACCCCCCACACTACAATGGTGGAACTATGGCAGTTAAAATGGAATAATACCAATAATACCACACATGTTTTCCCCCCTGAATTCCATAGTTTTAATAACAAAGATGCTCTGCTGAATCTTGTCCCATGCCACACATCCCTTTAAAAAAAAAAAGTAGCTCCAACTGTATTTGTTCAATTGGTTTCAATTTTGCTGATTTAGAAGTAACTAAGGACCTCATAACATGGATGAGGTCCTGCAGGGCGATTTGCCACCACCCATGTCAAATCAGTGGGTCATTCCCCACACCCGACATCCATCTCATCCATAGCTGATGCTTCCCCATCCCATGTGGGGATACATCGCTGCCACAGCTTGACCCCATAGTTTTCTACAGAACATAGGAAGTCTCTCGTGTTTTGAGGGAAGTCTCCTGTGTAACTTTTGGAACACTTCCTCCATGAGGCCTGCCGGAAGTCAATGTATGTCATGTTATGGTGTCCGGCAAGGAGGAAGTCTTCCAAAAGTGTCCTAGGCCCTCACTACCTCTGAGGATGCTTGCCATAGATGCAGGCGAAATGTCAGAAGAGAATGCCTCTAGACCATGGCCATATAGCCCGAAAAAACCTACAACAACCCTGTCCTAGGACACTTAATTTGCCTCATGACATGAAGCTGTAGACCAAGGACAAGTCTTCTCTTTGTACCCTTCTGGAGCTCTGAATGGAATATCCTACTACAAAGATGAAAGTAACCACAGTGTGGATGTGATGGCTTCACTTGCCTTAAGATTTATTTCATCCATGAGAGCAATAATGAAGGTGTACAGATTGCCCAGGAAGAGAGCAAAGATGCGCCCCAGTTGCCAACGAAGTGCTATTCGAGGGTGATAGTTTTCCAGGGCACTAATGACATCAAATAAAGTTGGGCAGAACATTCCCAGGAGGGACATGACCATGTTCACCTGTCAGAATGGGAAACAAAATTGATAGTTATGCCCCTATGATCTTCTAAGGATGATCATCTTAGAAAATCTGGTATGCAAAGTAAGCTGTTATTGAACTTTGTCATCTTTAAAGTGGAATGATGCTTAAAATTAAGATTTTATGCACTGAAATGAATATCAATGCTTGGATTTTCTTTGTCTTCTCTACAGTGTTTACATTCTAATGACAAGACTAAAACTTTATAGTACTGTTTACTAGCAGGTCCATTGCCAGAAAAGCTGCACATGGACCTAGAGACCGTAGGAACAGAAACACTACAAATATGTTTCAGTAAGTAAACATTTATCAAATGAATGAATGAATGAGTGAAAAAGTTAAGCCATCTATTAAGTCATCAAGAGCATTCTGTCTTTGAAGTCATCAGAGATAATACTGGAGATAATTCCCTGGGTTTCTCAGGATCTACAGTCAGTTTTCCATGGTTGCTGGTGTTAGAGGCATAGGACCCCCATGAAAGTGAAAAAATGTGAATAAAGAAATTGCTATTTTTTTTAACCTGACAGAACACCTCTAGGAGTTTCTAGATCTACCAGCATGACTCTATGGTCAATTCCTGCTGGAAGTAGACTATAGAATTACACTGGAGGATCCAGAGATTCCTAGAGAGACATTCTCTTTTGAAATCTCTAGGGTCCTCCAGCATGACTCAAGGACGTTGACAATAGGGTCACATTGGAGAAACCAAAGATTCCTAGACAGAACACCTTTAGTCGAATATGCAAATAATCAAATCCACAAAAGTCAAACCTGCAAATGTAGATGTATATATGTGTTTTGTTTGGTCAACTCCTCAACCGATTTAAAGAAAATTCCATAAGAAGTCTGGAAGAAATTTATATCTGTATTGTTTCTACCAAAAGCAAGTTACTTGGTCCTCCAGATGTTTTAGGCCTACATTTCCCAACAGAACTAAGAAACACAGCAGATAATCAGAGATTATGGGAGTTTTCACCACCAAAATATCTTATTAGACCTACTTGCCTATCCCTGGTTCATAACAGCACTGTTAATTGTGACCAAACTACCACAGGATCGATTGCTCCATTTTTTCTATTATGAATAAATTAATAAATGAATTTATTCCAAAAATCAGTAAACTATAAAGCAGTGACAAAAATAGATTTCTCCTGACATAAAGTTGAACAAGCAGCCAAGAGGTTAACCACCATCAAGATCAATCTTTAGTTTCAGACACTGAAGCCTTGAAAATCAGTTGTCTATAAAGCTGCTGTGATTCCCCAGTTTTTAAATGTCATTATGCTGTTTACAAGCCAGGCTGAGAGTAACAGCCAAGTCTAAATTCCACTCTTAAGCATTCTTCTGCATGCTGGCACCAGAAAGAGTATTTAATCATGATGACTTGCTATTAAAATGATAAGAATTAACAGTTTTGTAAATCTAAATCATGTTCTCACAACCCACACTGTGTGCAGTAATAATAGCCTCGTCTAACATCCCTCCTGCAGAAGGCAACAATAAAAAGCCATCTTTCATGCAAGCATATTTGCATTTTTACATACTTAGTAGAATAATTAGAGGGTGGGTTATTTATTTATTTATTACACATAAAAAATTGAGGTAGAATTCAAAATGATATCTCAAGACCTTAACTTCTAATTTTATAACAGATTATTACTTTCTTGCTAATGTTTTCCACTTTGTCAGCAGTATCTGCTCAAATTATCAGTTTTTGCTACTGCATATATTTTGTTCTTGTTTTTTACACCATTCACATGTCATGATTTGGCAGGGACCTAGTCTGGTAAATCCCAGTGTTCATTTGCTTTTAAAATTCCCCCTTTTCTCTCTCTTCCTCCTACTTTCTCTGCTTGCCCTCAGCTTACTTTCTTTAGTGCAAACTGAGTTTTAAAAAGTAGTTTGCATATAATAAATGCAACAGATGGCAAAGAAAGCAAGGTGGTAAGGCTCACGCAAAATATAATTGCTGCAGCCTGTCCTAGTTTTGTATGTGTTCTTCTTCATTAATAACCTTTGTCATGCACTGATACTGAACAGAGGAAACCTAATCCTCACCAAATACTGGAGTTTAAGGTGGATAAAATATTTCCTTTTCTAGAAAAAAATTCTAAGTGGGAAGATCTCCTTCATCACACCCACATTATGATCTCACAAAGTCCTAAGGATACAAGACAACGACCAGAAATCTTTAGACCAGTGGCTGGGATAAAACTTGGAAAAAGTAATTTTGGGTCCCAACATTCTCCATCTGATCTGTCTGGAGGATTTGAGTAGCTGCAGTTCAAAACTTATGCTAGTAAGAACTGTCTTTGGGCATTCCAGTTGTAGGACAGGAGGAGCCTTTGAGCCTTTAGATCAGTGGTGCTCAACCTGTGGGTCCCCAGGTGTTTTGGCTTACAATTCCCAGAAATCCCAGCCACTTTACCAGCTGTTAGGATTTCTAGGAGTTGAAGACCAAAACACCACTTTAGATTAACAGCTCTCTCACTTCATTAGCACATCCATTGATCAGGCATTATGCCTGTACAAGCTTGAAACAGCATCAATATCATCCGCTCACTGGAACCAATGAGAGAGGATTCACCCTCCCACCCCCACTCCTCCAAAAAGACAGCATGAAAGTAAATAAGAGGGTTTACATATTTTCACTTCCTAGCCTAATTGGAACAAGGCAATGAATAGTCAGTTTAAAAAGCAATGGGCTGATCTAAGTTCAGAGATCTATCCATAAAAAAGGGATGAAACCAGAACAATTGTTAGCTCCAGGAGAATTATGTCAGGACTTAGCTGCACTTCAGTACTATTGCAGTAATTTACTAACCTGAAGTTATCCGAAGGTGTGATGTCTCTCAGGCTTGACCAGCTACTGGACCAACTATATAATTTCCTGGTATCTCCTTTTGCTTTGTGGGTTCCCATGGTCAAGACAGGAGACACCCAAATATTGGAAACCTCCTTGACTCATCTGCCTAATCAGTTAACCATCCCACCACCATCACATCTGAGAGCTTTTCTACTGTGCTTGTAGTGTTCAGGACTTGGACAGACTTCAAGGAAATTTTTAAAGGAAAGCTCAACGGTGCATTAGAAAATACACTACTCTTTGTCAATGAGAAAGTAAATTCCAAACTAAATGTATAGTTTTGATTCAATTGTCACTGTGACATCTTAATGCCTTCTTAGAGCCTTAATGTAACAGACTAATGATAATGCACAGATTTCTACAATCATATAGCTGGAGGCCTAGTTTTCAATGAAAAAAGACACTCTTGTTTTTAAAAGGAGCCCTTAGCACCATGCTGTGAAACTGTGTGATGCAAAAAACATCAGGCCACTACCTCAATGCTTCTGAAAGCATACTTAACATATAAATGATACAGCTAAGTAATTATAGCAAGTGCTCTGAAGATTTGTTCTCATGTCTGTACTAAGAATTTCAGTTCCAACTTCATTGCTAATAAGCATTAAAGCCTAGTTGTCTGCCTTAATTCAGGAAGTGTTGATAATACAATCCTGGTCAGTGGCTCCTAAATCTAGTGACATGTTGTATCCCCATGGCCTTCTGGGGCATCTAAAAACATGCTCTAGGATTTTCCTGTTCTCTGAAGCAGGAGTTGGGGCCATATGGGCAGCTGAAGATGGAGTTGGGGCCATATGGGCAGCTGAAGGTTTCATGAAAGTCAGCACTGATGTTGGAAGGTTTTAGTGTCTTCTGGGGAAACAAAGGTTGACATATTTTTTCCTCTTTGCAAATAAGAAAGAACAAATATGTTCTCCCCTATGATTATCACACATCATTATACAGTCTGAGGTGAAGGAGCAAGTATGCCCCTTCTTGAGCTATATATAAAGACCAGCTGATTGGGTCCTGCCTATCTTCATGACCACATTTTCCCCTATGAACCAGTGCATACCCTAAGATCTGCTGGGGAGGCCCTTCTCTTGCTCCCGCCACCGTCACAAGTTCAATTGGTGGGGACAAGAGACAGGGCCTTCCCAGGAGATCTTAGGGTCTACACCAGCTCTGGAACTCTCTCCCCAGGGAGATTAGGCTACCACCTACTCTGTCTACTTTCTGCAGGGACCTTAAAATGTGGATATTCCAATGTGCATTTGCAAATGATTAGCCCCCTGTCTATGAGTGCCCAGACCTAGTTAACTGCTAGATGGAACTCAGCACTTTACCTCAGCTCTGACACTATAATCTCTTTCTGTGCAAGCCCATGCTCAGCCTCCATCCTTTCCAACACTGATGTGCCCGTTATAATCTGATTCTGGTTATAAAGATTGGTTTTTGATCAATTCAAATGATGTTTGTATACTTTACTGTTTTAATTGTTTAATTAGTTGTTATATGTTAATGGTGTTTTTAAGTGTGTTTCATTGGTTAACTTGTTATTATTGGGTGTGGTCCCACTTGTAAGCCATCCCAAATCCCTTTGGGAGATGGTGGCGGGATATAAAAATATTATTATTATTATTATTACTATTATTATTATTATTCACCATTGCTTATGGAACAGCATTCACTACTATACCAAAGAATGTTATTGTAGATGGAGAGAACAATCCATGTAGACCAACCCTATTCCTTCCAAATGTTTGCTGCCATCTCCCAGTATCACTTGCCTAAATTAATTATCTCCTGCTTCACAACAGCAAAGCTAGTTGGCCATAATTTTCCCTGCATGGTTGCTGATGTATCTTTCATTCAGCTAGATTCTCTTCCACTGTAGTCCTGCACCCACTCATATCCCATCAAACTCAGCAGACTTTGCTACATAGAAGATGTGTATAGATTACACTCCAAGGTAATTTAGTCAATGTGTTCTCATATAATGCAGTTCAATGCAGTGAAAATGCATTATATGAGGCTTCACTGACCATACAATGCAGCTTCAATTTCCATTATATGACAGTGTAAGTGGGGCCTTACACTTTCTTGCTTATACCTACTTTGTCTATAATTGTCATAAATGTAGTTTTACATATCCATCTGATACCATCAATGTGATGCAAAAGGAAATACTGTTAAATTGTCTGAACTGATTAAAAACAAGAGAACTCTCCTCTAGACCCTATTATTAGAAGTGTCTCAAAACATAATGCTCTCTGAGCCAAAGGATAAGATGGCACCCCTTCAATTCAATATACTCAAGCAAAGTAGAATGACCACTGAATCTTACTTTGACAATACTGGTAGAAAAGTATTTCTCACCCCACCAGAGGTATTTAAGTATGTAATGGGAGTTTAGGAAGCATAATCCAGGATACATGGCACAAATAATTATCTTTTCATCCTATATATTGATTCTAGTATCCTGCTCCACATCACCTGGCACCTGAGGTAGCTATTCCTTTTATACCAAGTGGTAGGGGCTACTCTGCAATCATTTATAAAATACGTTTGCTGCTCAGTTTCAAAGGGCTTTTTGTATTGTCAGGTTAAGGTGGTGGCAGTGGGGTTTCTTCAAGAAGCACAAGTTTAGATAAACAGATGTTTGGATCTGTCCACTATCTGCAACCAATACATTTGTAAGGCTCCAATTGCTACTGTCTAAAGATCACTTCACTTGCCATCTCTCTGTGTGTGTCTAGATCAGTGGTTCTCAACCTGTGGGTCTCCAGGTGTTTTGGCCTACAACTCCCAGAAATCTCAGCCAGTTTACTAGCTGTTAAGATTTCTGGGTGTTGAAGGCCAAATCATCTGGTGACCCACAGGTTGAGAACCACTGGTCTAGATTTTTTGGAAATTACTACCACTCAATCAAATCAGTGGAATCCAAAGTCAGGTGTATTGTATTTTCATGGGAATTAATGCCACAATCTTATAGGCCTGGAATTACTTCTGAGTAGACATGTATTGGGGTGCCATCCAATTTTGTGATATTCAACATTTGTTCCTACATATATTTTGGATTTCAACTCCCAGAAACCCTAAGTGGTACAACAAATGATCAGAGCTGAACTCCAAAATACTGGCCAACAAAAGGCTAACTTCTAATGTAGTTCTTGTGGAAATGAAAAACTTCAAAGGGGTGCTGCAATTACATTAAGCATTGTGCACAGTGGATTGACAGAAAAGATGAAAAAACAGATTTGGAAATAGATATCTTCTGTTATAAAAAATTAACCTTGCATTTCTATGTTCTAACCCCATCCCTAATCAAAGTGATGATTGACAGTAAATTTTGGAGGAAAAATTACATTTTTTCCAACCCCTAATTGTAATTCTACTCCTACTTCTTCCAATTTAAATTTAGAAAGCAAGCTGAAACTAACTTCATTTCTCTCCCACCAGCCATAATTTTCAAGGCCTTCCAAAGCAAATTTTTGGGATCGCCTCACAACAAAATAGATGAGGTAGCCACTCCCAGCCAGTGTACATAAGGCGAAGAAATTAGCAAGAACTCTCAGGAAACGGGTCAAGTGAACGTTCTCATCTCTTCGGCTTTCTTGTTCTTCGACAATTGCTTCCTGTACTTATTAGAAACAAACAAGAAAAGCATTCATTGTAAATGAACAGACTGACAAGACATATGATAGTGAACAAAATGCCCCATGTCAAGGATATTAAAAAGACTGTCTTCTCCCACATAAGTCTGTCCACCCACTGGTCATCATTAGAGGGCTTGTTTCATGTCACATAGCCTTTCAATATATGCATAACTAGCATCCAGGACATGGCTATCTTTCCATGGCACCAATACTGTAGAAATCCACATTCATTGGGGTTAGGGGTACAAGAGCCCGCCCCCCCCCCAAACTGGTAAAACTATGAACAAAAATGTTTGTTTGTTTTTTACCTGTGAGAACATCCCTGTGAGAAGATCCTACAGCATGACTTTATAGTTAGCATCTATTAGAAGTTCATGCTGGAGGACTTACAAATTCATGCTGAAGAACTTACAAATCCCTTGAAAAGTGCCATATCTAGGAATTTCTAGGTCCACCAATGCAACTCCATGGTAACTTTTGGTACAATTCATAGCATCACACTGGAGGGTCTAGAGATTCCTAAGGAGAGCATATTAATCAAATCCACAAATAATCAAATCCACAAAAGTGAACCCTGCAAATGTAGAGCACCAACTGAGTACTGATTTTAATTATTTATTTTTACTGCATCTTAAAATTAGCTTCTTGTGAGCAGTATTAGAGGTCTACCTGCCAAAATACAAGATAAAAGGTTTCTATGCCTCACTTTCGCTGGTGTGTGATGTAATTACCCATTGTGACGCAGGAGTTGGGTTCTCCCCTCAGTTAGAGACAGTCCAGATATTTGCAGCTGGTTCCAAGTGGAAACCACTTGGAACTGGCTGCAGTTGTCTAAACAGTCATCCCATATCTCCTAAGGTTCAGGTTGCAGAAAGAGGCAGAATGGAAGTTCCCTTCTAACCCCTTCCCCCATCTTGCTGCTGGTACAGCAATGAGAACCATCTCCCACCAGCTACTTAATTCTCCAGGTGGGCGGGGCATGTCCTCCTTTCTTTGACCAGATTGCATGGGCTGCAGAAGAGGTTAGGAGGCAGGAGAGGGCAGCTCTCCACTTTCTCCTCCCAAGGAGGAGGAGATTAAATAAACAATAAAATAACACACACGCAATTCCAGGCATGTTTTGATTAAAAATGCTGTCTGCATTACAAGAGAAAACACCTGCTGATTTACAAGGGCATTGATTTTACAGTATTATCATGTTAACAACTCTATAACCTCATTCAGTGACATCATATTCTTTAATGTTTGGTCTCAGGCTGAGTAAACAGTGGGTCATATATTACCTTAAAGCTAGTTGTTATTGATGCAAATTTGTTGTCCGCTGTTTCAGGATTGCCAATTAAGTAATCCCAGCTTGTGAACATTTTCCAGCTAAAGTTAAAACTGGTATCATCGCCTCCACCATCATCATGTGCATTCTTTGCCATTCTAAAACGTCCCAAAATCGATTGTTAAAAATTGATGAAAAGGTATGAACAGTTCTGCTAACACCTTAGCAGAGCAAGAAAAAAGTTTAAGTTCTACTTTGGTTCATAAAGATTGTCAACTGAGTAAATCATATTAATAGATTAGTAAATCAATTATCTGCCTTGACTAATTGTTTAATCCATCAAGTTAATTGAAATAACATAGTTGCAGTATCTCACACTACATAGATGCCTGCTTGAGAAAAGAAAAGAAATATGAGATCTGTTTCAAATTTGATTAACAAAAGCCCAACCAATTAAAGCATTTAACATTATTGCAGTGAAACCTTGGTTTGGGATGGCTTTGTCTAACCTAACTCCTAACCCTATCCTCAATCCAATCACATTACACTGTTATAGCACTATTATTCCACTTTAACTGCAATGGCAACATGGGATCCTGAGGCTTATAGTTTAGAGAGGAACCTTTAGATTTCTCAACAAGAGAGACTTTGGCCCTTTGTTGTTCATTCGTTCAGTTGTTTCCGACTCTTCGTGACCTCATGGACCAGCCCACATCAGAGCTCCCTGTCGGCCATCACCACCCCCAGCTCCTTCCAGGTCAATCCAGTCACTTCAAGGATGCCATCCATCCATCTTGCCCTTGGTCAGCCCCTCTTCCTTTTTCCTTCCATTTCCCCAACATAATTGTCTTCTCTGAGCTTTCCTTTCTTCTCATGATGAAGAAAGTACTCCTTCCCTCCAATGAGCAGTCAGGCTTTATTTCCTGAAGTATGGTCCTTTGGCCCTTACTCAGCTACAAACCTAGAATTCCACAGGATGTTGCCATATCATTTAAAGTGGAATAATAGCACTACAAAAGCATAGTGTGCTAGGGCCCTCAGGCATCTTCCATTGCCTGTTTCAAATTGGCAGGAGTTCTTCACAGGTCTTAAAACAGAGATCTTTCCCATCTCTTGCTCCCAAATGACTTGAAAGTAAATTGGGATTGTTTATCACATAAATGTGATTGAAGAGCAACCCCAAAGACTATAAAAATAAATTGGCATCAGAATGGAAATCAACAGTCAGAAATGCAAAGATGGGCACTCCAACAATGTCCTGATTTTGTCACCGCAATGACCATTGCCCTTTCCTTCCTCTTTTCTTTGTTTTGCTATCTATCCAGGCAATAGCAGAAAAATAGCCAAACGAACAAAAAACTCCATTAGGTTTTGCACTTATCATATTGTTTTCAGTGAAATCATCCACAAGCCAAAGAATATAAGAGGATTTACTCTTAAGGTTATCTAAATATAGATCAAGATTATCTTGTGGCCAGATGGAAATTTTGCAGAACATGCTTGCCCAAGAGTATTCCTTTTGTTTGTTCCTTAGGGATAGGGCCACAAGGATTTGATTTTACTTGTTTTAAGTGGGTGACTAGTAGCTATAATTCCCTGAGAGGATTCTGTAGACTATCAAAGAAATATTTTAATGGCTTCATCATAACTGGGTCAAAAAAAAGAGTAACTTCTGTGATGTTTTTGGTTCTTTAACAAAGCATACAGTGGACCCTCTGAATCTGTAACTTCCACAGATTGTGGATTATGACCTTGCATACATAAATGATGGTGATGTAAACAAGCTGAAGTGTTCATTTGCCTGTCACTACCATTTAGTAATACAGGACACAATAATTCACTTTTTTGGAATCCATGAGGGGTCCTGGAGCCAACCCCCCCCCCCCACCCATGAATTTAGCGATATCTCAGAAATAGAGACTAGGGACCTCATCAGATGAAGTTACCTAATGCGAGCGACAGCAGGGGGATTCACCAGGCAGTGTAGTGAATCTGGCAGGCAGCAGAGAGATCCATCACCTCATGCTCTGCATCACCCACAGTGACACCTTCCTCATCACACCGGAGGGGGGGGGCATCTCTGCCCAGCTTCCCACCACACTCACCCCATGGCTGGCAACAAGAATATGAGAAATCTCCCATGTTCTCCCTGCCTCTTCTTAGGATGCATTCAACACAGTTTGGGGATGGAACACCACCGAAAGGTGCTCTACGTCATTTAATGAGATCTGATGGGCTCTGTCCTTGAACTGTGCTGGATGCATCTTATATTGGGTAAAAAAAGCCCATGTGATGAAGTGGTAAAATACGTAGACTTTAATTGGCATTAGAAATTGATCTCAGTTGATGTTTGTGGGGAAGAGGGTACAAATAAGAACTAGTATAACTCAGTTAATGAAATGGATGTGTTCCTGGACATTTAACAGAAAGTTTTGTACCAGTGGCAGAAATAACATGGAAAGAATATTGATAAGTGAAGGAGAATACTAGGCCACTCGAGATTTCTCTTGAAATGAAGGATCCCTATATGATTTCTCTAGCTGTCTCTTCATATCTGACTACATTTATATATGTAGAGACAGCTAGAAAAATGTCATTTTGGATTCTTATTTGAACTTATTTGATCTGCAGTTTCTAGAATAACATATACTTTCTAACACAGCCATCATTCAGATTTCACACTTCTTCGGATTTTACAATTTGTTTCAAAAATAAGAGAGTATAACATTTTGGTCAAAAGAAAAGAGAGGAAGTCCTCTTTAGTTCATCCTGTGACAAACAAAGAGTCAAAGAGATGGAAATTATACTTTATATTATAGTATGTTTATTCCTACTTTAATGGGTTTTTTGTGCCTAATGCTTGAAAACAACTATGCAAGTGTGCACTAGTTGACCACTGCCATCCTGCAGACAGCCATTTGCTACACAGTGGTTTTTGTGTCAGATTCTTCACCGTTTGTTTTTCCCAAGAAGTGCAGATAAATACTGTAATTTCTGGGTGTTACTTGACACTCTGCCAGATGCAAAGCTTTACAACAAATGTTGACATATCTGCTGCCTTTGTTACAGGTTTATTTCACACTTCTTAGCTCCATAGAAGATGTGATGCTATTTTAGTAAAGGTTCCTTTCCCATCTTTACTGCACTGTGGAATACCTTCTAGAAGGAATACATATATATTGACTTCAAAACACAAAGTAACAGTTAGGGTTTCATACTCATCTCTCCACCCACACTAATGCTGATCAACCTTGATGCAGAAGGGGCAACCAGGGAAAATGGACTGAGTATAATCAGATTGAGAAAGGAAGCATCATTTTGATCTAATATCCTGATTAGTTTTTAACTGTGAATTTCCAAGACCCTTAATGATGGGAGCATAAGAATAAAATTTGTATGGTGTAGTGGTTAGAAGAGCGCAGATCTACACTGGCCCAATAAATCAGAGCCAATCTGGTATGATATAGACTGGATCAGTTCCAGTATGGGTCACATAAGCACTCCTGCATTTGGTATAGTATAGAGTGGATCAGCCCAGAATAGGTCTCATAAGTACTCCCACAACTTCTCTGGAGCTGACAGGAAATCTCGACTGCCTAGTGGTACCAAATGTAGTGGAACCTACATGTCATGACAGCCTGTGGCTGCAATATGAATCCTACCTGTCATCTAGCACAGGTGATATGGTGACCAGGAGGAGAGGAGGGATGAAACCCCCCTCCTATCTGGTATTCATTTCCAGATCACACTGGCTGGCATCACTGCAGGTGACTAGTGGCAGGTAGCACCTATGTTGCAGTTGGAGATCACCTGTCATCCCATGTCCCCAGGCTTCCAGAGGTCAGGAAACATTGGATGGTAGTGAGAACAGAATGTGAACCAGAATGTGAGCTATCCCCCAACTTTGGTTACTGTGGAGCAAGGTGGCTTTACCCTTTGTTATCCCAGATCAGCTTCATACAGCATTTGATTGCCATGAAGTTGATCTGGACCCAATCCAACCTAAGTGATCAGTGTAGATTGCCCAGGACAGGGTAAATTTAGTGGGTTAATACTTTGCCCCTGGGTTCCTTCAAAGAAAAAGATCTTCCAAAAATGAATGTTCAAAATTGCTAAAAATATTAACATATTACATAGTCAGAAATAGCTGACCATCTACTTCTGATTTTTAAACTTTGACCTTGAACAGTAGGGAGGCTCTGGTTCCTATCAGGTGTGAATTTCTGCCAGGTGTACTTTGACTAGTCACCATCTCTCATCCTAACCAATTTTATAAGTGAAATGAGTACAATCATTTGTGCTGCCTTCAGATGAAAAGCAACTCAAAATATAATAAATAACAGTAAAAAATAAAAGCAGACTTCTACCAACCAGTATATACATTTCCCTTTTTTTTAATAATTTCACATCAAAGGAAACTTACGTGCGGATGACAACCATGAAGCTATAACCAATGGACCCAACTCCAACCAAAAAGTAGGACAGAGGTAGTCGAAACTTCAGCCAGCCAATTGTTCTCTGATTATTGTAATAACCATAAAAGAGCACGGAATATTGTGCAAAACCCTAAAAAGGGGGAGGAATTTAGGAATTTATTTCTTATAAAAGTAAAAGACTTCACGCAACATTCCCATAGCAATTGTGTACTGACTTGAACCTTGCAGGAACTACTTTGCTTTAGCTCCATCAATCTGAGCTAGAACCAAGTAATTGCATACTCTACGAACAAAACATAATTGCAGCATTTAGGGAGAGTGGCTTTTGTCATTCCTGTTGCTGAATAGGCTTTTCTCCTTTCACTGCCATAAGTCAAATGGCAGCAAAAAGAAACCAAACATCTATGAGAAGATCCCAATATAACTCCTGTCCACCCAGGTCCAAAGAAAAGATTTAAGGAATTGCAATACGTTTTTTAAAATACATTGTAAATAAAATGATAYCTTTTAAAAMAACTAATCTGAAGGTATTCCACAATCCTGGAAACTTATGGAGGAGTAAAAAAAAAAAAAGGAAGGAAGAAGGCAAGGGAAAGAAAAAGAAAAGAAAGGCCAGCAATTCCCAAGCAGTTGTTGTTTTCTTTCCAAACACCCATTCAACATCAATTTTAATTGAGCACTCAAATAGGGATGGGTGAATCTGGCCCCTTCCATACTGCCCCTATTTCCCAGGATCTGATCCCAGAGTATYTGCTTATCCCAGATTATCYGGAAGTGGAGACTCATATAATTCGGTTTAAAGCAGATAGTCTGRGATCAGATCCTAGGATATAGGGCAGTATGGAAGGGGCCTCTGTTAGTCTTGGTTTTTCTCAATTTCTCAGGACCCTTCTACACATGCATTAAAACCTGAGAGGAAGCRTGTTAAAAGGGGGCGGGAGTGACTAAAATCCATTTAGTCAAAGTGCAGGAGGAATCAGGAGGAATTGGGTTAAGGGCTGAGAAACATGTGTTTAAAGGGAACCCTTTAAACCTGATTCTTCCTAAGTAACATATACCTTTCCATGCCTGTGTATCCCAGCAGGCATGGAAAACGCATGCTTCCCTTCCCCCATGTGGATTTCTCCAAAGCACGTGTGCTTCTGAAAAACTATCAAGCAGAGGCACAGGTGCCTCAGAAAAGCACAAGTGGAAAACAAATACAACTCTCTCAAATTCTGTCTTTTACACTTTGTAATGTTAAACAGAGCTTGAATTAACAATTGGGGAAAGACAAGGATTTGAGGCAAGATTTTTTTAAAAAATTGTTCTGTTATGCTCTGGGCCTCAAATGCGCATGTGTACATATGCACATCTCTGGAGTGATTTTTTTTAAAAGAAAACTTTCACCGGATGTCCCCCACCCACCCTCCATTTTATTTGCTTCAAAATACAGCTGTGAGGATGGCAGGGGACTATGCAGCGGGGCTGACAGATCTGTGTTTAGACTACCTTTGAGATCCCACATTTTAAAAACCTACTTCTTTTTCCCGCATTTTGGCGCTGTCTGGAAGCACCCTCAGTTTTCCAAACTTTAGATCTTTCCATGTTAATATGCAACTTAAAAAAACAAAATGAAAATTTGTATGTACCTTCATGAACCTTTATTCCACATTTTTGTGTGCAGACACATTTTTGCAGGACATTTTCCTGAAATAATATTATTTTTGCTTATGCACACACACACACACTTTCTCGTAATATACAGTATAATCCCATACCTAGAGAGAAAACATTCCAAGATGCCTCCCATGAATACCTGAAACAGGGGACAATAGCAAACTTTATATTTTGATTATACAGGGTGAGGCAGCATAACTTCCTTTTTTAAAATGCGTGCCATTCAGTCGGTTGCAGACATAGCGGAATGCTAGTACTTGGGCTGGAATCATACCATAGAATAGCACTGGAAGACCTAAAAGAACCCACCAATGCTTCCTGAGGGAATGATTTTTGAGTTTGGGTAACTTAAATTGTGGATATTCAATCGATGGATAAGGGAGAGATAGTGTATGCATTTTGTGTTTATTCCCTAATGCAGTGGTTCTCAACCTGTGGGTTCCCAGATGTTTTGGCCTTTAACTCCCAGAAATCCTGACAGCTGGTGAACTGGCTGGTATTTCTGGGAGTTGTAGGCCAAAACACCTGCGGACTCTCAAGTCGAGACCCACTGCCCTAACACATATATTTTGTTTTTTGCATCTTCTGAGGAGTATAACTGTTATGGAGTAACTGTTTTCCACTTTGGCACAGTGATGAGGGAATTGAAAATTTGACTTCAACTCAAAATGTAAAGAGAAACTCAAAATGTAAAGAGAATAAATCCCCTTAGGAGAGAATGCTCTAGACCATGGCCATACAGCCCAAAAAAACCCTACAACAACCCAGTGATTCCGGCCATGAAAGCCTTCGACAATCCCCTCATTACTATTCCTGAGGCAAGAGCATTGCAAGCTGATGAGTGTTTCTCTTCACTTTAATTGAAAATACATTGTCATGATCCTGGCTCCAGTAACCCTCTCCTGTCTAAACTCCCAATCTTTCGACAACATGTCACAACAGATGCCCTGTTCCCTAAATGGAGATTAAGCTCTCTATAAGAAAATGAAACATATGCTCTGAGGTTCATTATATTAACCAGTTGCTAAATTTTATTCATGTGGTGGATATAACAGATTAACCCTCCAGAGCTGAGGGCAGACTTGATTGATCTTAAATATCCTGGTGGAACGTAAGATAGAATACAGCCTACATAAGTCATCATGGACTTTGTAAGTCAGAGCAGTTATATGTATTCATGTGCTTTCAAATCGTCTGTTGACTTATTGTGACCCCATGAATTTCATATGGTGTTCTTAGGTATAGGATCTAAAAAGTAGAAGAGAAAATTAATAATGATAAGCTATTAAGATAGATAGATAGATAGATAGATAGATAGATAGATAGATAGATAGATGAGAGAGAACATTAATTACACTGAATCCCTGGTATCAACTAGGGGTTGAATCAAGACCAAAATCTGTGGATTCTCAAGTTCCATTGGATACAATGGTGTAGTATAATAATGTCCTTTAAATACATTGGTAAATTCAAGGCATACATTTTATTCAAATTCCAATTCATGTATGAAGGCTCATTAGATGGCCTTGGGCAAGTATCACTCTCAGCCTCAGAGGAAGGCAATGGCAACCTCACTGTAAACAAATCTTGCAAAGAAACCTTCTTGGTAGGTTTGCTTTACAGTTGCCATAAGTCAGAAGCAACAATATTTATATTAAACAAAATTACTGATGTTTTCCAGTATTAAAGAACAAGCTGTATAATATGCTTGGCACAAAGAATCAAAAATAATTGACACAATGGGACAAGAGTTTCTTCCATTTTTCAAAGGTGGACCAGGGCTCAAAGCTTGCAAGTGGCCACAATGATTTTGAATCACACATTGTGTTGCCCTTGTATCTGCCCATGGCTCACATATGAATTGAAAAGGGCTTTAATTGACTGTGGTAATGCAGAGGGGCTTAATCCACACAAGAGTGAAATGCATCTATTCCCTTCTGCTGTTTAGCTGCTGGTTATTTCTTAAAACTAAACCATTAGTAGATTAAAATGTCAATAGGCTAACATCCTTCTGTTTCATTTAATCGCCAGCCATGCATTTGATGTATTGCGACTGTCAGGCTGCCTGAGATGAGTCAGAGTCTTTCTCTACTAAGCCTCATTTGCAATCCCAGCTGTGGTGAAAATGAAATATTAACACATGACAAGTAAATATTAATAAATTTCTAAAATGGTTATCAATCTGTTCCTGGATATTCACAACAGCCTCTGCTGAGGAATTATCAGACTCCTCGGTTGTTAGTGTTTAATTATTTGCAGTACATCAATGGAGTATGAAGGATGCATACTACAGTTGTCACCTATCGGATATTAGTTCTCCTATGACAATGCCCTAAACAATTGTTATGCTAGATGTATAATGTTTGGCACTAAAAAAACATGCAAATGTATGCTCACTAATTTCATTCCTTTTTTAAAAAAAAAATTCTCCTCATCAGAAGCCAAACCCTCCATGATGCTAAACCAGGGCATATCTTCTAATATTTCATAGCTGAAAAATGGGACATGTGTGGCCAGGAAATTTGAGTATGGTCAAGATGGCAAATTTAGTAATGAGGAAAATACACAAAAAAGGAGAGGCTGCAGTGGGTTGCTTCTGCATGAGCCTACTGAAAAGGGTAAAATACTATTTCCTTTTCTCCTCCTCCCCACTGAGGATGTGTGTGCACTAGCCATAAAAGGTTGGCTCAGCATCAAACTGGTGCAAACAGCCAGCTGTTGAGCTGCTCCAATCTCTGGATCATATCCACACAGTCGAGCAACACCAGAACCAGTTCGGTTCCACTGGACTACCTCCCTTGCCTTACCCCTGTCCATCTTGCCCTGCTATGCCCACTGGACCTGAAAATGGCATTGGTCACTGCTCAGCACCTATAATGACAATCGCCAGAGTGATAAAGCAACACAAGAGAGGGGAAATCTTCAGTCTTTTCATCTATCTTTCCTCTGCTTGTTTCTCTGTATTTCAGTGCATTGCCATGATTTCTGGCATGGAAGGGTTATCAGCAGGATTCCTAAGCTGTTCTTTGAGCATAAACATGATCTTAACTATAACAGCAGGAAGTGTCTGGACACTCCAAGCTTTGTTTTCTAACCTCCATGCCAGATGTTCAAAAAGATTTCCCTGCAATTGTTTTCAAAGATCACAAACAATTACTTATTCAAGGTAGATTCAATTTGGCCTTTTATTTATGCCAGTAATAGAAAAACTGTTGCTTCAAAAGAAGAACTTCTCAATACAGTCTGACCCCAGTTTCCATGGAACCAATATATGTGGTTTCATTTATCCATGGTTTCAATTTTTCAATTATTCATTTAGGGCCTCCTGTACAAGTTGGACCCTTTTCTCAGTGCCTCCATAATACTTCCCCTTACAAATAATAGGATTCACTATTTTCCACAGTTTCATATATCTATGCACAGACTGGGAATATATCCTCTGTAGATAAGGGTGTTGTAATTTGTCATACCATAATAAAATCATTGTATCTTGGAGATATACCTAACTGAGGTGACAGGATTTTTACTCAGTCTCACTAAGGTAGTGAAATAGAGGACTAATCACAATGGTAAATGATGCTGGTACTTCACCCTTACATTAACACATGGCTATTATAATCAGAATGATAATGTTAAGGGCCTGCCCTACCATAAAGGTAAAGGTAAAGATTTTCCCCTGACATTAAGTCTAGTCATGTCTGATTCTGGGGTGTGGTGCTCATCTCCATTTATAAGCTGAAGAGCCGGCTGCATGGAACACCCTAGCATAAGATGAGTGAAATAACCACCCTGGGCAACAAATTCAGTTAGTTTTCATTGCATTTTTACTGCCAGGAGAAGAAAAGGAAAGCTTTTGTGAGATCTAGCAGGCAATTGGAGAAGATGGCCTTTGTGGTTCCTTCCAGCTCTGTGAATTGAAACATGTAGATCTAATGGCTATAGTTTTTGACTGAACTTTAAGAGCTGCTCAAAAACTCTAAACTATTTTCAATACCTTTAATATTTCTTTAAATTTCATAATACAACTAGTACACTGACACTGGAACAACCACTGATACTGCATAGGACACTCAGTAGATTAGGCCTGGGCAACTGTGGCCCATTAGAATGCAAACACTACCAGCTCTATCTAGCACAGCCACTGATGAGAGCTGATGGGAATCACGGTCTATCAACAGCTGGAGGACCGCTGTTGTAAAATAAAATAATTTTGGAAACAATGGTTATAGGTTAGGAACTCCGCATATATGAGGTGGTAGATATGCAGTGGAATGCAGGTGAGCAAACACTGGTGCTTTGATATTCAACTTTGCAATTCCTATCATAGCACAAACACCATTTTAAACTCCAATTGCCTTTAAAAATGAGGTTGCTATGCATCACAGTCACAGGTTTTAAGAAGAAAATATAAATGGAAAAACATTGCCTAGATATATCAACCATGCTTCTTTCAATCACAGCTTCTATCTTAAGCTATAGCTCTTTGCCAATACCTTTGCTGGCATTTATCTTCAATTAATTTATGCTTAATATGCAATTAGGAGCCAATTTTGATGTAATATTTTTTTATTCTACAGAGGAACAGATGCAAAGGAGATTACATCAGAATATGGATTTTTCATAGAAAATCTGTGAACAGATGATTGTGTTCATGCCAGTTCCTGCCCGCAGATCTTTTCCACAAAATTTTCCCAACCTGCTGAGCCAGAACATTCTTGTTACTCATTGAACTTCACAACTGAGCAGAAAGCTTTATTTCCCCATACAGAAAAGGCCAGAAACCCACTTAAGCAAGTTGGAGTCTATCTTGATAATATTTCACTGCTCAGGATGATGCCCAAAGAGACATTTCTAGGTGCTCAGGATATCATGATATCATCATCATCATCATCATCATCATCATCAACATCATCTATTCCTTGCTTTTTCTCCCCAAAGGGGACTCAAAAGCAACTTGACCTAAAAGTATTGGTATCCAATTGAAAATATGCAAATACACAAACATTAAAACACAACACAAACAGTATTAAAACATTTAGTTAATATCCACCAAATGTATTAAAAATTAAAAACCATAGCACCCCCCCCCCCCAACCAAATCTCAAACACATTCATCTTTAAAAGTCTGTTTGAATAAAAAGGTTTTAGCCTGTTGCTGGAAAGACAGGAGGGAGGGTGCCATTCTGGCTTCCCTGGGTAGGGAGTTCCAGAGTCAAGGGGCTGCTACGAAGAAGGTTCCCACAACTGAGCTTGTGATTGAGGTGGGACCAAGAGAAGGGCCTTTCCTGAAGATCTCAGGGCCCTGGCAGGTTCATACAAGGGGATGCGGTTGACCAAATAGCATGGACCTGAACAGTCTGCGGCTTTAAAGGTCATAACCAGCACAGAAACAGACTGGCAGCCAGTGGAACTGCTTCAACAGAGGGGTTGTCTGCTCTCTGTAGCCAGCCTCAGTGAGCAACCTGACTGCAGCTCTTTGGACTAGCTGAAGTTTCTGAGCACTCTTGAGAGGGAGTCCTACAAAGAGTGCATTACAGTAGTCTAGATGGGATGTAACTAAGGCATGTACTACTGTGGACAAATCTGGCTTCTCAAAGAATGGTGCACAAGATTTAATTGTGCAAAAGCCATCCTGGCCACTTCTGACACCTGGGCCTCCAGATTCAGTGCTGAGTCCAGGAGGAACCCCAAACTGCAAACCTGTGTCTTCAGGGGGAGTGTAACCCCATCCAGTACTAGCTGTATCCCTATTTCCTGATTTGTCTTCTGACTAACCAGGAGTACCTCTGTCTTGTCTGGATTAAGCTTCAATTTGTTTGCCCTCATCCAGTCCGTTACTGATGACAGGCACTGGTTTAGGCTTTCAAATACGCTCTGGCTCGTGCTTGATCAGATTCACTTCAAGTTCTTCACCAACATTGGTCTAGTCTCCATTTCACTTGCTTCATCACCCCCAACTCCTTGGAAAGCCTTGGAAAGGGGTTGATTTGGCTTTGCTCTGTGAGAGGGGACATTCAGGAGCAATTGTCTCCACCGCCCTGATCATTTCCCCATTTCAGAGATCAGCCAGAACTTCTACAGAATCACTGGCTCAAGTGACAGGAAAATCCCCAAGAGATATCAGGAATTCATCCGAATCCATAAGCCTCCTGGGGCACACCTTTATGTAGACCTTACCCATGTGTAACTCCCCACTTTCATCTGGGCCCAAAGAAAGAACAGTAGGAAGATCTGACACTGACCATATTTGTAACAGACTGATCCCACAAATCATTTGTTATGCAACTGGAGGCCATTTTGCTATGCACCAAATGGTCAGAGAATCAATCTGTTGTGAATATGGCTGGAAACTACTCTCTTTGTTCTTCCTCGACTCACTGGATTACATTCATGAGATTTGGAGCTGCACTGGTGTAAAGGCAAAACATATACAGTATGTTCATATGTCTTTCCTTCTGGACTGGACTGTTGGGTGGTTCCTCTATATCACTGGATTCTGCATTCATGGATTTAACCACTCATGATGAAAATATTCCATTCTCCCCTCCCAACCCCCCTCCCAAACTTAGATTTTGCCATTTTATATAAAAGATACTATTTACTATGCTATTGTATATATTAGGACATATTTTTGTATGCACGGGGAGAGGAGTGTGTCCTGGAACCAAACTTCAGTGAATACCAAAGACCCACAGTATGAGCTCCTCTCCCTTACTCCTCAAAAAAACTGGCATTCATCCGTATTAGACCCAGCAGCCTCTGACAGTAATTTGCTTCCTCTTTTCCTGCCAACAAGGACAAGTAGAAAGGATTAGCCACATGGCACTTTCAATAACTGAAGAAAATTCTCACAGTAATTTTACACATTCTGGTATGTAGGTTACTATAAATCCCATAGCAGTTGGCGATGTGAACAATATCCTTGATCCCTATGGGTTAAAAAGATGTGAAACACATGATTGAGAGCTTAGGTCTACTTTCTCCTCATTTATCTTTCTTTAGTTCTCTTGTCACTCAGTGTCTGTTTGCAGACTTGTTATTTCATAAATCCACAGAGAGCCAAATTAATCCCTCAGCACAATTTTGATAAATCAAATCCACCCACCGTGGGTTGGGGTTGTTTTTTTACATTGTGGAATTGACCTGGACTAGGTGAACATGGTGACCTTGGAGCTTTCTGTGTTGTGATGTGTCAACTTAATTAATCGAAAACAAAATGGCAGGTCTTCAACAGTGTTTTGATTCATTGGTTGAGTTATTTTCCACCACCACCACCCCCCCACTTTTGTTCTTATGTACACGTGAGAAATCCCAGTGACAAATCAACATGAAGCATTTTTTCATATGATGGGAAAGTTCTAAGGGGATTTGGTGTGACATCTGATCTGCTTTCCCCACCCGCCAGTTTAGGGAAGTTGGGCAATGAGTTGCTGGAGAGTGAAATCAATATTTTAGTTAACAGAGTGCACACTTACACTAAAGTCCCACAAAGTTGCAAAGTTCATAGCACCTGCTTCTTCGGCTCTTGGCACAGTTTTTCTTGGTAAGCTCCCATATGGCTTTGCCATCAAAGCCTACAGATAAGCACAGAAGAAAGTATTCAGAACTATAAATGGAACCTAAATCAGGGGAATCCGGAAGAAGAGAAAACTACAATCACACCACAGTGAGGAATGATGAGAGCACTGTAATTCAAAGAAACTGGATGACCATGTCCTCCCCAACCCTTACGTAAACAAACAAAACAACAGCATGGAAACAAGTGGAAAATTAGCTTCCTATCCTGGGTCTTAATTGCTTTCTTGTTCCCCTTCTGCTAATTTAACATTAAAAATATTGAAAATATCCAGATGAAAAATTACAGGCACTGGTTTAGGCTTTCAAATACGCTCTGGCTCGTGCAAATCATATCAGTGAAATATCTAACATTCAAGTTTTTTTGGACTTAACATGTCTTTTAGTGCCATCCTGTAAAATGGAAATTATATTATATATTATATTTCTGGTAGTTGTGTGTACCAGAAAAAAGAATTTGACCATGGTAGATGAGGACAACTGGAGTATATGTTGTATCAACAACCAAGAGAAAAGGTTTTACAGCAAGTATACAGGTGGGGGATCTGTGGCCCACCAGGTATTGGACTCCATCTCCCATCAGCCCCATCTTGTAGTCAAGGAAGCTGGAAGTAGTGTTGCAATAACATTTACAGGGTCACAGTTTCTATTCTAGTGATCAATATTTACCACATCTACAGCATCACAGTTTGATTCAATGCTGATTATCTCTATGGAGAAATAATTTAAACAAATGTTTATTGTTCCCACTGTTTTAGACTTGAATGAATGACCCCGACCCATGTTCCTGTCTGACAATTAAACCTAAAAACGAATGGCAAAATAATTGGCCATATGAACTGAATCATCCTTACCTCAGGCACCATGATAAGACCAAAGGTCAGCCCAAACAGAATAATATTTATTCCATACATCCAGCGCAAGAAAATGAAATAAGATGCAACTGAAGAGCCAAAGTGACCTACAAAACATGAATGAGATGAAATGGCAAATGAATCATTATTTTGCCAGTTGAAAGAAAGAAAGAAATTATGCTTCTGTTTCCTTATCATATAAATCAATGTACTAAACTTCATGATGTTTCTCAAGCTCAAAAGTGCTACCTGATTCCTTATATCTTTTTTATATTGAAACAGATTAACACAGCTATGTCTCTGAATACATATTAAACATGCAATATACCACATATAAATGTTTTTTTAAGAATTATAAATAGGTATTTTCAGTTGTTTCACCTGATAAAGTTATGAGGAGTCCCCAGTCAATGCATATATTAGCATGGGTTATTCATGTATAAATGTATATTATGAAATTCCAGCATTTTTGAAGAGGTTCATTGGTTGGAAATTGAAATAGATTAATGATAACAAAAACCATATAAAACAACAGAATTTAACTTCTAAAGGATCTTCAAAAATATTTAATACAACTACAGATTTACTGACATTCCACAAATCAGGGCAAATGCAAATCAAGGCACTTGCCTACATAACACATACTATGTTCTCAATATATGTGTCCCAGAATATTTTGAATTTTGTTCATTGCCAACTGAGCCTTCATATCACCCTTGTCTTAATTTCTCCTTCCTCCTATCAAAACAGCCTCCAGTCCTCTGAGAGATGCAAACCTTTTCAGGATTATTCAGTGTATGTAAATGGGATGGGCACCAACTTAGTAATAGAACATTTGCTTTCCATGTGGAAGTTTACAATTTTAATCCATGGTATCATCCTATTGAATTCTGACTATGCCATTTAGTGAAGAATCAGAGGATCTCTTTGATTAGGAATTCTAAATACCCTTCCCCAGGCCTCAAATCCTAAGACTCAATATTTTGTTGTCATGGCCATTAAAGCAAAATTATAGTGTTATAATTGTGTCGCATGAAATGACTCCTGCTATCAACCTTTGTAGAGTAGGGGAGTGTGTGATGCTGGGATATTTTTGGATTGATATTCCCATTTGGACTGATATTCCCATAGTTACCATAGTCGATGATGAAGAAGGGTGGATACTTCAGTCACCAGTCCTGGTGTAGAGACACTACTGATCTTGATTGAACAAAGTCAGTCTTAGTATAAATTGATTCCAAAATTCTATAGCTGAACTTTTGTGAATATCGTTATTGAACTCAGGTGCTTTCATTCATCATTGAGTTTCAGCAAGATATCAATTAATTCTGTTTTCTTTTGTTTCCCCATCACTTACTTTCAATTTCTTTTATTTTCATTTCCCAGGGTATGCAGGCTGTTTTAAAATTCTCAAAATCACGTTGAAATTTTATCCATTTCTGGAAAAAAAATAATAGTGAGGTGACACATTAGGGAATGAGATGAGAAAAAAGTGAAGCAGAACACATTCAAAAGGCAAAAGAGTTATACAATCTGAAGAGAAACCAAAATATAAGCAAAACACATTCAACATATCCTCCTTTAGATTAATGCAAATCCTCCTGTTTACTTATTTTTTAAAAAAATCAACAAAATCTATAAATTGCATATAATTCAAATGGTTAGAAATTTGTTTGGGGACTTCATCCCACGATCTTCGTAAAATGATGTGAAGTCACTTCTGGTGGGGCTCTGTGGTGCTCCATTTTCTAAGTGCATGGAAACGGAGCCCAAAGACAGCCTTCAGTAATACCTAACTCCAAACTGGAGAATACAGGGGAAAGCAGGAAGAAGATGGGGAAAAGCACAGTAAGCACATGAGATGGCTGGCCCTCCGTGAAGATGAGGAAAGATGGGAAGGAATGGTGTTTCCTTCACTTCCCCTACTTTCCCCTGCCTGTCTGATCAGGTCATTGGTACCAGTGTTCTACCTAGAAGCCAGGGAATGGATCTTGTTTCTTTAGGCTCCACACATTTCTATCTAAATCGTTTACATGTTCTACACTATTCCAACTGGTGTGATCTAAGAATTCTATTTTTCATAAAATAAATAATTAAACTTTGACATCTTTGAAAACCTACTAATTCCTCATGTGTATTTTTCATAATCTAAATTACTCTGAGGACCTTATCACACTCAAAGCAGGAAACACCTTTTGAGAACTGGATACACACTGAATAATACAGATAACCCAGATCACTCTCGCAGATCTCTCCTTCGTGTATCTATTCAAATAACATGTGTTGACTTATCACATGGCAGACAGATTACTCCTCCTAACCCATCCGATGTTCCTCTACATTACAGCTTCTGGGTTGAGACTCCACATGAGGTTGTCATAAGTGTTCCCAGTATTTCCTCTCCCAAGCACTCACCTTTCTCCCTGCCTTCCCTCCTGTCCCCAGTGCCACTCTCTGTCTCTTTGCCATCCCTTAAAATATCATATGTAGAAAGGGGTCACAAGTAAAATAGCCCTAAGAAGCACTGCCCCACATCACTGTCCTTCCCCTTTTTTGACAGATCTTAATGCAACTGCGCAAGTTTGAAGCCTCCAACCCAACAAGGAATCCAAAAAATATATTTCTGTTCCCATGGAGCTGTGCAGTTTTGATATTTAAACAAACCAAAAAAGGAAACAATACTGTGAAAGTGGAAAACATGAATGGCTTTACTCAGGTTCTCTCTCTCTCTCTCTCTCTCTCTCTCTGACTACCAACAGAAGTGTATTGCTAGCCAATTCAACAAAGGAGAATCAATTGATAGGAAAACACCACACTCAAAACACATCTTGAGGGACACATCACTGGCACAGCTAATGAGATGCATATGGGAGTATAATCACATCTGGGAAGCCATGCCTGATGCACACTACGAAAAAAACTAAAAGTGAAGACAATTTGGAATCCATCTTACAAAAGCTACTGTCTGCATACCCTTCCCATAAGAGCCCCTACAGGTTACATACAAAACAGGCAGAGTGTCATGTGATCATACCCACAAGGACTCATATACAAAAAGTGTTAGAGATAGGGGTTTTTCCTTTTGTCCTGAGTTATGCTTCTGCTACACAAAGGTTCCTTCACTCTACCAATTTTAATCCTTATGTTTGGTAAAGGTTGTTTGTTTCTGATTTGTTTAAAAAATTCTATCCTGTATGAAAGCCAAAGATTCCAAGGTGGACTACAGTAAATAAAACAACTTAAAACAATTTTAAATTGAATCAAATATTTGAAGCAGTTTGTCATAATTAAAATAAATGACACAATCCAATAACCAAGACAAAATTTTGATCACCAAGCCCCAAGGTCTTCCCAAGTCAGCCAAGTTTATACTCGGAGCCAAAATGAGGTCAACACTAGCACCAATTAGATCTTCTAAGTGAAAGGGGAATTACACAGCCAATATGCCATACCAGACTGCTTGTCAATATGCTTTGCTTGGGACTACATTCCTAAATGCACACTACATAATTTATTCACACTAATTTTAATGTGAGTAAATCAGATTTCTTTTTAGCTGCACTGCCTATGCCATCTAAGCGGTGTAAAGTTATGCTGGTGAACAGGATCACAACCCACTGATGTCTGTGAGAGTGTCTAAAGACCATCCAACCAAATCCAAATGGTAGAGAATTGGAAAAGACAGAACAAGCTATCACAGTTCACCCATTTCACAGAAACAATTGCTTTACCTTTGACATCATCACTTTAAAAGCATAGAACTGTTTGTTTTTGCCTTTTCCAAGAGCCCCTTCAAATTTTTCCACAAAATCCTGGGCTTCCCTGAAAAAGAAATAGAAAAGTGAAAGAAAAATATTTGCCAGGGTGTTCTAAAAGCATTGTTTCACTGATTGGTCTTTTTCTACTGAAATACTGAGAACTGTTACTCAAGATTGATCATCATAATGTGTTACCATAAGGCAGGAAGGAGGCAATGCAGTGGCTGCAGGGGCCAATTTCATCCATCTATAGCTGGCTGTATTATCCAGAACATGGCAAGAAAACAGCCTAAAGTGGCCATTTTCAAAGACGTAGCCATGTTAGTCCTGGCAGCATAAAAGGGATGAAGGAAAGGGAAGAGTCACATGACCTAGGAGGTGTCTACGGACAACACCAACTCTTCAGCTTAGAAATGGAGATAAGCAACCCACCCCCAAGTTGGACATGACTAGACTTAATGTCAAGGGAAATCTTTACCTATACCTTACAACTTTTAACATTACTTACATAATTACAAAGATATGGCTTCATAAATGATGGAGGAGGAATATTATATGATTAATTGGTTAATGTGGACTGTGTCTCATTCTGCCACAGCCTTGTGCTCTGTTGTGGGTGCTGGACTAACAAAGATAGAGTGGCAAGAGAGTGTTTTTGTACCAAGGTCCAGTGAATTACAGCATTCACATGTTTAAAATAACTGAAAGTATCTATTTTATGGATAAAGTTATCATGAAAGGGAACATGTTTTCTATACAATTAACACATTTTTCACTCTACAATGAGATTTCCCACAGATGTGTGCTTGGTTAGACCTGCAAGTCAAAACTACATTTGTTTTCCAATAACCTATCACAAAGCAAAACATGCTAGATATGAGAAATGTAGAAGGGGGAATCAAATTCTATGACAAGAAGTATACCACTTGGGAAACAATCTTATTAAAACCAGTAAGAGTCATCATCTAGTGGAGGATCAACAGCTATAATCTATCTAATCCTAATGTCTCTTATTTTGAAGAATAAGAATTAGAATTAGAATACAAGAATTATTTTAAAATTGTAATGAGGATAGAAATTAAGAACTTTCTGAGTTTGGGGATTATACTTGAAATGAATTTGTTGCTCAAGTAATTGTCCATGGTCTAGATGTAACAGTAAATTAGACACACAAGTTCATTTTCTATGACAACCATGCATTTCACCCAAGAATATTGAAAATCCAGTGCCCCCCACCTCACACCCATGAATCTTCTTAGGTTCTTTCCAATTCGTTACATTTATCTATAGAGCTAGGAGCTTCACCCATCAAAAATATTGATTTTGCTTTTGTTTATATGGTTATTTACACTGAGATGAAGAAGATCTCTGTCAAAAGACTCTAATCTTGCCAAAGACATCACATCACTCTGCCATTCATTCTCTGAAAGGCAATGGCGAGGAACTAATATGAGCTCAAAGGGTGCTATGGAAGGATTTCTCTCCAAATCACTATAAAAGAATATGCACATGGCTCCCCACTCTTTTGGTGAATATATGAGAAGGAGTCAGATCACAGCTTGTAGTCCCAAGCATTTGGCATTTGTGTGAAATGTGCCTTCCCTCCCACAATGCTGGAAGTCTTGGGCAATCTATCAAGAGGGAAAGGAAGAGACCTGTGCATGAATATAGGTTTACATACACAAAGAAGTTTTTAAATAAATGCCAAACTCAAGGAAATGGCTAGACAGTGCAGACAAGACAATTTCATTCCACTCTGCCTGCACCCTGTGAATGAAATGAAGAGGATGGAGGGATCTCAGCAGTGCTCAGGGAGCACACAGCTCCTCTGTTGTACCAGCTCCACTGGCTGCCAGTTTGCTACCAGGCACAATTCAAAGTGCTGGCTTTAGTCTATAAAGCCCTAAATGGTTCCGGCCCATCCTACCTGTCCAAACGCATCTTTCCCTATGAACCAGCTAGGAATTTAAGATCTTCAGGGGAGGCCCTGCTCTCGATCCTGCCTTCATCGCAGGCACGCCTGGTGGGGATGAGGGACAGGACCTTCTCAGTGGTGGCTCCTCAGCTATGGAACTCCCTCCCTAGGGATATTAGATCAGCTCCCTACTGACATTTAAAAAAAAACCTGGCTTTTTGAACAAGCCTTTAAAAACGGAGTGTAATTGATGAATATGGAACCCAGGAAAGAATGAACATGAAATGGCTTGACAATGTCTTTGGAAAATGAGCTAATAGGAAGTTACTGGTGTTTTATGCTTTTAATGCTTTTTACAAGGTTTTTATAATGTGTGTTAATTGTTTTTAATTTTGTTTTAATTTTATTTATGTTCATTATGGCATCAAATCGTGCCAGCGTAAGCCGTCTTGAGTTGCTTTTGGGCCGAGAAAGGTGGCATAGAAATGCAGTAAATAAATAAATAATAGATCTTATATGTAGGGTCTTTTTACCATTAGAGGTGGAGGTAGAGGTGGAGAGGGAGAAGGAGAATACCAACCCTGAACTGTTCCTTCTTAGCTCCATGGGCATTGCCTTCTGTTGGAGGACAGTGATGTGTTGTTCTTACATGACATATTGTAGTCTCTAAATGTGCCTGCACCCCTCAGGCATGCAGGATGATACCATCTCATAGTCCATATTGAAGTAAGATTCAGCTGTCAGGTCCAATCAGTTTCTTCATGTCGAAAGGGGAAGAAAACTATCTTGCTCTTTTCTTCACACACCAACTGTCTTGGGCCTGCCCTACTTGTATGACTCACTTATCGTCTTAGTGAGTCAAAGATACTATATGGTGCCATGGATTTTGAAAAGGCATGAATACAGGGCAAAAGGAAGAAACATGCCAAGAAGAAGGCACATCATGCAAACTCTTCCCATGACCACATTCAATTTGGAAAATCGTTATCATTGTGAAGAACCATATGGTTCCAGAATAGATCTTCACAGTAATTTACAGATCCACCGCCAAGACTCTATCTCTAGAAGACAACTGTACTTGGCCACAAATGACCACCCATGATTATGACTACATGGTATCTACGTGGAAGACAGCCAGCATGCTGTAGTGGTTGAAGTATTGGACTATGGCTCTGGCTACCAGGGTTCAGATTTCCACTCAAGCATGAAAACCCACTGGGTGAACTTGGGAATGGACATGCCATATACTTTGAACCCAAGAAAACCATGTGGTAGGTTCACTTTAGGAGTTTCATAATTTGGAAATGATTTCAAGGAACACAATGACAACAAAAACAACAACAACAAAGTAGATATGACCAGAGTTTGGATATAACACATTAAAAATAACAGCTGTAATGAGTTACTTTTGGATACCAAGAATGAAATGCAACTAGTAAGAACTGCACCTCCTCCCTCCAGGTTTTTTTTTTTTTTGTTTTTTGTTTTGTTTTTTTGCATTATTTTTTATTAGTCCTTGATCTCTCTTCCCACCTAGTCCTGGAAAAATAATAAGAGAGTAAGTTAATTTTCCATCATCACAGTGAGTAATTGAAAGAAACATTTTAACATTGCAACAGGTATGAGAATGAATGACTTTTTAAAGGTATATTTATTACATTTAGAAGAGTTATGCAAGGAGATGAGCACCAGGAAGATCAAAGTGAAATAAAATGGACCATTTTAACAGCATCCACCCAAACATCCAATTCACCATGGAAAATGAAGGAAAACTGCAATTTCTAGATGTTCTAGTCATCTGCAAACCAGATCAACAATTGGGTCACACAGTTTACAGAAAACCTACACAAACAGGTTTTTTGTAAACAATATAAAAATTCCAACCATCACCCAAGTCAAAAAAGAAGCACTACTAAAGCCCTGGCAGACTGTGAAAAAGAACCGGCGAACCTCACCTCCTCCAAGATGAACTGGACCACCTAAATTGGACTTTACAGGCCAATGGATACTCCACCTCAGACATCAGAATAGCTGCAAGACCAAGAACAAG